ATATTTAATAATATTATTTATTTAATATATTATTACATGTTTTCAAAAATTAAACCACCAAACGCAGTTCAGTTTTTTTTAAAACTGAAATCAATCTCTAAATAAAACTACCAAACGCATTTTCAGAAATAATTTAAAAATGAAACTAAAAACGTTTTCATTTTCATTTTCGTACAGAAAACAAAAACGTTTTGGAATCAATTCCAAACGCACCCGTAAGAGCATCTTCAATGCAATGTTAATTAATATGCCAAATGCAAATTTATATTTGAGTGTAAAAAATACTTTCTAATGTAATGCTATTTGTTGTGTTAAATTTTCCATATGTTATACTTTGTGGTAAATTTTTCACTAAATATAGCATATGAAAAATTTGATATTTAATTACTATTGGTTGAAATGTTTACTTTTTCCATGTAATTAGTGTAATTTTTACATTTTCTAATTATTTTAAAAATAAAAGTTTATTTTACAACTTTTAAAGCTTAATAATTATAGAAAAAATAAATTTAGCATTTCTAATAGCATTATGCATTGGAGCAAAAATGAAAATAACATACCATATCATAATTTTTTATGCTAAATATACAATTGACATTAGCATTTGCATTAGAGGTGGTCTAATATTAATTATACATATTCTTAAATTAATATTAGTTCCCTTAGCAGTATATTTATATGTGTATTAACGTTAATTCAGTCTTAAAGGATCTCGTTTAAGCCAAACAGGATGAATAGCGACTTTAAGGGCATGTTTTTGTAGTTCTAACCGTTTAGTTCGAAGAAATTAAGGGGAAGAAATGGAACAATGAAACAAACACCCAAAAAAAGCTCACAATGAGCTGTATACTATAAGGGCTGGCTAGGACTTGGTTCATAATTTATGTATCACGTCAGAGCTTACGTAAAATTTTAACCTTTACGATTATGAGCTTAAAAATAGAAGGGAAGAAAGTTAAAGAAACCGATAATGAAACAAAAAACTATTGAGAAGTATTTTTTATTTTGGAGCTTTCCTAATAGAAATGAAATACATGTATTAAAAATTATTTATTTCGTATATTTTTAATCTGATATGATTTTTATTATATTTACCGATTAAAAATTGAACATACAGAAATAATCCCTTTTTATTCATCAAAAAATAAAAAAATAATTGTCCAAAACTGTGTGGGATACAACTCTTCTAGAAAAGGACACGTCATTAACTTGGCGTAGTAGTAATACACATTTTTGTTCGCAGATTCACTGCTTAAACCTCTCTCATAAGCTGTGGTCTTCTTGGCTTATAAACCGGGACCTCGCCTTTGAAAAGAGAGGAGAAAAGTGGACTTTCAAGTTTCATGGCAAAAGAATTCAAGCCAAAAAAAAAAAAAGAAAGGAATGTTTAAGTTATTAGCTCAAGTATTTTTGAAGGTTGTATTGCAATCACATTAAAGTGAACTTTGAATAAAAATTCTACCAAAAAGAATATATATAGATAAAGAAAATAAATTGTGTAAATGTAATGAAAACTTGAAGAGAATACACGTCAATAATACGAGTTTCTTAACATTAAAACACGTCATAGTCAATAAAATGTATAAAATTTAATGAAAATTTGAGAAAAAGCATACCATTCTGAATTTGCATAAAATCGATACGCTTTTATACTAGGCCAAATTATCTCTCTTTTATCATTAATTCATATGTTTCGTTATCACAAACTTCAACCCAAGTGTCAACTTTAAAAAAATAAAAAATCAACCCAAGTGTGCTAATTGTGAAACATTAGTATCTTTTCCCCACCACACGGTTTGCCAACAAAGTTACTAGCAAGTGCATTAGGCAACTAGTTTTTGCCTTTTGGTACGATGGTAAAAACAAAAACCTATGCGCTTATTTTTTAAGGTCATGTGATAATACAAAGTTTTTAATATTTGAATCGGGATAAAATCACATCTAAATAAACAAAGTATGCAGAACACAATATTTAGAACATGATTAGTGGACGTTTGGTTTATAAATTCAGAATCATAATTTAAAATCATTCTTAATTTGTATATTTTTTATGAGAAAAAATACTATAACGAACCACGAACTATAATTCAAATCATAATACGAATCTATTAATCAAACGCACTAATATTTTATTTTTTTGGGAGTCATATCACAAAATTTTTTTATTATAAAAATAAAAAAAATAAAAAGGCCAAGGAGATTGGGAGGAGGGTGAGCAAAAATAGACTCCCCACCTGTTACACGTTTTCTCACGTGAAGTCCATTTCATGAGAACGCCCTATAAAATTGCCGTACACATTATCATTGTAATTCATATAACTTCATTGACTCTCTCCTCTTTCTCTCTCGTCCTCTCTCTTTCTCTCTTTCTAATAGTGAATTATCAAAAAAAAAAAAAAAAAAAAATCTTATAAGCATAGTGGTGTGGACGCTATAGGTGGACCTTTGCTTTGCTGGCTTCAAGCTCTCCTTTGTTGGTCTTTTATGGGGCTTGTCTGCTGAGAGAGAAAAATAATAATAATAAAAATTGGGAAAATAAAATTGGAGAGAAGTTTTTCAGTTGGACCAATCTTTTTTTTTTTTTTTTTTTTTTTTTTTTTTTTTTTTCATTTCCTTTGGAATAATACACAGCCCATATTATTATTATTTCACTTGGGGTGTACAACAACTTCAACTTTCTCATCATCTTTCCTAGCACTACTAGAGATAGATATAGAGAGAGGAAAAAACCCAAAAGGGCAAAAAAGAAAAAAAGAGAAAGGAAAAAGGGGAGAAGAGAAAAAAAAAAAAAGGAAGGAAAAAACGAAAACCCACTTCTTGTTTTCCTCTCTTGATTTCTATGGATCCATGGATCTGATGGTCTCTTGACCATAACAGCTTCTTCCTCTTCGTCTTCTTCTTCTTTCCAGATCCTTCTTCCTTTTCTGAATTTTCTTCCAAGGATCAGTCAAAATTATTGGGTAAGACTCTTTCTTCTCTCTCCTTTCTCTCTAGTTTTTGGGGGAAAACTGTTGAATTTTCATGATTTGGTGGGCGAATTGTTGTGAATTGAGGTTTGGTTTTAGCTTTTTTCAATGTGAACTCAGGAGGGCGTAATAATCTTCTTGATTTTTCAAATGGCTGACAAAAACACTTTTCTGAGGGGGAAAAAGGGGAAAAGAAAGTACCTTTGACCACACTCTGTGTCCAAAATCTCCTTTTGTATTTCGTCTGATTATTATTATTATTATTATTATTTTTTAGGAGTTGCGGCCGTGTATGGTCTTGGGTTTTCTGTTTTTAAAGGAAAAAAAGAGATGGGCTTTGGGATTATTGTCATTATTGCTAACTGAAATAAACTGCAAGCACATATTTTGTTTTTGTTTTTGTTATTTTTTTTTGTTCTGGCATTTGTTCGATCTATTATAGGTTGTTTCTTGTATGAGGTCCAATTGTAAAAATTTATTAACTTTGTTGTTATTGTTGTTGTTTATTTTGCTTGTTGTGTTTGAATAGCTTTTACAATTGAAGGAGCTGAGAAGTAGAGGAGAATAGATAATTGTGATAATATTTGTTGTTTCTTAAAAGTCCTTATTTACATGTGGAGAATTTGGATGGTTGTTTGGGTGAAATGAGGGATGTTATCGGAGTTAATGAACTTCTTGAGGGCCTGTTTTCGGCCGAGGTCGAAAGGGTATGTTCACACGAATTCAGATTCCGGTGGTCGCCAAGACGGGCTTTTGTGGTACAAGGATTCGGGGCAGCACTTCAATGGTGAATTCTCCATGGCCGTGGTGCAGGCCAACAACCTGCTTGAGGATCAGAGCCAGATTGAGTCTGGCTGTTTGAGCTCCCATGAGACTGGTCCGTTCGGTACTTTTGTCGGGGTCTATGACGGGCACGGAGGGCCCGAGACGTCACGATACATCACCGATCACCTCTTTCAGCATCTTAAGAGTGAGTATCTCTAGACATTGAGAATGGATTTTTTTTCATCAATTAAGCATCAAGACAACTTTGCAGCTGATTGGTTTTTGTTTTTTCCATTGAGTTAAATTTTTGAGAAGTGAAAGATAAAAGGGTTGTGGTGGATTTGGCATACGGTAATTCAACAGCACCATAGTGATTGTGACCTTGCCAAAAGTCGTAAAGGAAAGATTTCTGAAAAAAATTATCAGTCAGTGAGTGTTATCTTCTAGTTTCCAAGAGTTAAGGACTAGTCTTAATTAAGAGAAACGGTTGTGCTAAAAGTCGTGTTCATGTCGAGGATTTTACTTTCTTGGATATGGGCTATTGAGATTTGGTTTTGAACTTCCATTCTTTTTGAGCCATAATGTTCTTGGCCATTAATCCATGCCATTGATGTTCTATTTTGAATATTGTATGCAGGGTTTACTTCGGAGCAACAATCTATGTCTACTGACGTAATACGAAAGGCATTTCAAGCAACGGAAGATGGGTTTTTGTCCCTTGTCACGAGACAGTGGCCTATGAAACCACAAATTGCAGCTGTTGGATCATGCTGCCTTGTTGGTGTTATTTCTGGTGGAACCCTTTACATTGCCAACCTAGGGGATTCCCGTGCTGTTTTGGGAAGAGCTGTGAAGGCAACAGGGGAGGTTCTCTCCATCCAGTTGTCTTCAGAGCATAATGCAAGTATTGAATCTGTGAGGCAGGAACTGCAGTCTGCGCATCCTGATGATTCGCAGATTGTTGTTTTGAAGCATAATGTATGGCGTGTGAAGGGCCTTATACAGGTATGCGTTTTACTGCATAGCAGATACTTTAATAAACATTAGTGTTTTTGATTCTAGACCACTAACAAGTGTTCTGTGGCTTCTTGTCAAATATACTTTCAAAGTTTCAATAGCCCCATTTGGGATCTACTTGTCTGGCAACCCGAATATTTTGACCTTTGCTGGGGGAAAAGGATGAATATGAATGACCTATATATTGTGTAGTTGGTATCCACATAATTGTTGGTGTGATTGCACTTATAGGTTATTACTTATCAGTCTTGTTTGAGGTTTTGCATATAATAGCTACTTCTTGTGAAAATCAGACTATCAGTTCAAGGGGAAGAATGAGGTTAGGATACATTACTGGTAAGCTTATGATATGACTAATACAGATGGATGTTACTGTTATTGTAATATTACGCTAGAGCATCAGGTTAACTAGTAGCTTTGTCTCCAATAGTGGTGTTAGGTTATTCTCTTGTTTGAATGCACGATGTCCTTAAGTTAAACGAGGATATCATATAAAGATCTTAAATGACGTATGTTGTCCTCCTCATGTATGTTCTATGCATCCGAAGAAACGTTATAGTTGTACTTCAACTGTAAAACCTCACATTATAGTTGTACTTCAACTGTAAAACCGCTTTGATATTTATTGGTACGTGGCTATTTTAATTCCATTTAAAAGTTTAAGATGCTGCACACATTTTTTTCTCCTAGATTGCATGCTAATAAATGGTATGAACATGATGAATTTTTTATTTGAGAGCTTTCTCCAAATTTTCTAAAATGTTAATCACTTAACTTGCAGATTTCTAGATCCATTGGTGATGTGTATTTAAAGAAGGCTGAGTTCAACAGGGAGCCTCTTTATGCCAAGTTTCGTCTTCGTGAACCGTTTAAAAGACCTATATTGAGCTCCGAACCATCAATTACGGTCCACCAATTGCAGCCCGTTGATCAGTTCATTATATATGCATCCGACGGGCTTTGGGAACACCTTGACAATCAGGAAGCAGTTGATATAGTTCAAAACCATCCACGTAGTGTAAGATTCAAATCTCAAGACTAACTACTGTTTCATTTTTTCTAATACTAGGAGCTCTTCTTTTTCTAAAAGAAAAAGTAATTTGAAGTTGTGATAACTAACCTTATATATATATATATATATATATAATCTCGTTCATTTCACTGATTCGAGTTTTGCTACAGTAAAAAGCTCTCAGAAACAGTCACATCTAACGTTTTTGCTAATCACATCTCAACTCGAATTAAAAACTAGAATCAGTGAACTAAACGTGCCCTATATATATATTTTGCTAGAATGATAACTAACTATTCATTTATTGATCTTTTATATTAGAACCCCAAGATCAAACGGTTCATATGTTATTGAGACAATTAGTGTCCTGAGATCATTGGATGGCCTTCTCTCTTGCGCAATATTGCCTGGAAAGCCATTAACTGCATGAGAGAGTTACATGATTATGAATTATGACATAAATTAGGAGTCTTACCAGCTTTTTTTATCTGTGGTTAAATAGAACTCCCTCTAGCCGTGAAAGTTTTCATATCCGGATATAATTGCTTTGGTTGACTCCTATCCAAAAGTATGCCTAGTTGTGGGTATGACCACTGACCAGCTCACCTCTTTTTAATAAAAGTCCCATCTAGGATGGAAGTGTTCAAAATCTTGTGGATAATTTTTTTATTGTTATTTTTTATTATTTTTATTTTTATTATTATTATTTTTTAAATATCCTCGCAGAAAACCATTGCCGTAGGCATAATCTAGTAGATAAAAGTAGTTTTTTGAGTGCCATGCGAAAAGAGTGGTGGAATTTGTACTTTCTGTGTAGAATCCCAACTATATTCAAGAAACCCAATATTTCCAACGTTGCTAGTTGTACAAAGTAGATATTTAACTGGCAGCTGTTTTTTCCAGACATGGGTTGGCATCCATATATGTTCATATTACGTGAATATACTTTTAAGATTTCGTAAGGGTGAGTGATTATAGCCGCCATATCATGCTTTGTTTTCTGGAGTGTATGTCTTTGTCTGTGAAAATTTGGATCTGGGAGTAGAGCGAAATCACCGAATCTTATTGTGATGGTGTTTTGTCAAATATTTCCTTCATGGTGCAACTTTTTTTTGTTACAAAAGGTGTCAAATATGTATTTGTTACAAAGGGGAAAAGAAGAATTAAACTCGTGCATTTCTACCTTGCAGGGAAGCGCAAGGAGGTTGGTGAAAGCCGCTCTACAAGAAGCCGCAAAGAAGAGGGAAATGAGGTACTCAGACTTGAAGAAAATAGACCGGGGCGTACGGCGCCATTTCCACGACGACATCACTGTGATTGTCGTGTTTCTCGACTCGAATCACGTGAGCAGGGCTAGCTCTGCCAAGTTCCCTAATATATCAGTAAGAGGGGGCGGAATCAACCTGCCGCCCAACACTCTAGCCCCTTGTGGTACGCCAACTGAAGCTGGCAATACCTGAATCTGATTAGGCTGTTGTGTATCTTATGATCCCATCTGTTGTATTATTCTCTTGTGTGAATACCAGGTAGCTTCAGAAAGAGATATGGACAAAAGGAGCAGGCCTTCAAATTCTTTATTGTATACTGTAACTTTTTTAACTGGAAAAACTAATACTTGCCTTTTAGCCTTGAGAAAAGAACTTTAAGGTGACAGTAATAGTAGTTGTTTCCTCGGCACGATTCCTTTTCTTTCCACTGTTGGCATTTTTTTTTTTAAATTTTATAAATTCTATGACACAAGACAGATAAGCTCTTACTTTCATTTTCTTGGTTTTTCTTTTTCCCCCTCTTGATTTCCTCTTAAATGGTGCTTGGCTTGTACCAGGTTTGTGCAGCAGTAATTGGTCAAATATCTTCCTAGTTCTTGTCGTCAACGTGATATAATCAAATGTCAAATGTTTGAAACCAGCAAATGTATGATTTATTGAAAATCTTCCTGGAACTCAGTGTGGTTAAAGGTGTATTGTACTCTTTCAACGTCACCTGATTTTTGAGTACCAAGTGAAGTGACTATTATGTCTTGTGATATCAACAAGGAAGTCTTAATGTATCTTACCTTTTGGTGATGTTCAGTTCTGTAGAAGAGATGAAAAAAAGGTGTTGGAGGATCAAAGTATCCAACCACCCCCAAGAACAACGGGCTAATTTATTCATGAGCACCTTTATTTATTTATTCTGATGAGATTATTTTACTATTCATATAATTTATAAAGTGGGTATCATTAAGTATGTAGTTAAAATCTAACTTAGTTGGAGCTGTCATTTTGTAAGTGATAGGGATAAATATTATTAATTTTTTTAAATGAGATCATTTTTTATCTTTATTCACAAAAAGTCTATACAAATTAAGAAATGTGCACTATTTCCTATTAATAGTGCTTAATTCTCACGTTTAGATTCGATTAAAATTACATTCAAATAAAAAAAATACACCAAAAAATATTTGTTGATGTAGATTTGACAATTGGAAAATAAAAACTTAGTTGGCAGTTTATTTTTCGAGGTTCTACTGTAGAAATTACCGATTCTTAAAGGGAAATTTGTGAGAGTCTATTAGCATTTTGGTCTTTGACCCGTGGGATAAGAGTGATTTTTTTTTTTTTTTTTAAATTTCCTTTGAGAAGAGCTACCCTCTGTCCAAACCATAGAAGTATTAGAATCCTGTGCATTGTTAGTATTGTCCTTTATTTGTTACGTATTTTTTTTACTTGGTTCACTTTTCATTATATTCCACTTTGCATTTGCGATCACAGAAAGAATAATTTCTGGCATTGGCAACAGGCTGACTTTCAAACCAACTCCTTTGGCCTTGAAAATAGGTGCTTGAATCAAGAGGGGAAAAAAGAACTTGAACGAGTACTGGTGCTTTAAAAGGCTACACCATTGTTTGGAAATTTTCACTTTTTCTTATTTTATTTACTGGACTTGGGCATCAGAACATTCCAGTGCAACCATCAAAGTAGCACTTTTAAAGTGGTTGAGCAAAAAAAAGTCGAAAGTATTTTCATGTTGCATTTTAAAGTAGCACTTTTACATGGTTGATTCACTCGCAAAAGACCTAACCCATTTAATTCGCTGATTCAAATTTTTAATTTGAGTTGAAATGTGACTTTATGTGAGAGTTTTTTACTATAATAAAAAAATTAAATGTGACTGTTTATGTGAGTTTTTTACTGTAATAAAATTCGAATCGGTAAAATGAACATAGTAGTTAAAGATTCAACTCCGATCACCGAGCATAACCACTAGCAAATTCGACATCAATGTGATGTATAAAAATGTTACAAGACGAAGGTCGTCTACGGATGCTTTGCGATGCCCATAGGAAACCCATTTGCGTATCTTTGTGTTGGAAGAAGCCGTCGCCTGCAATGGTGCAATCAACCGGGTTTCTACTTTTTTATGAAGAAAGTTCTTAAAAATCTTAGTACACGTTTAGTTTATAGATTTAAAATCATAATTTAAAATTATTTTTATTTTATGTATATTTTTTATAAAAAAATTATTAAAAAATTATAAATTATGATTTAAAATTATAAATAAATACAAAAAATAAACATCTTCTCAATATATAAATAAATAAATAAGGGCCTGAGAGGAAGTAGGGAGTTACGAGGCGTGTGATAAAGGCTACTTTTTTCTCTCTTGCTTGTCAGTCTCTGCAGGCATATTCCCACTAACCCACAAAGAAAACCCTTATTTTTGTTCCACTTAATTGTCATTTTCCTCTCCTAAACATGGCTTTTCTCTAATTCAATACCAAGGCACGGCTCCCAATGCTACTACTTGGGCAGGCTTTAGGGGTTTTTCCTTCTTTTTTTTTTTTTTTTTTTTTTTTTTTTTGGGGCCTAAAAAGGGGGTTTTTTTTTTTTTTTTTTTTTTTTTTTTTTTTTTTTTGCGGTCCTAAGACAAGCCTGGGGTGAATAAATCTTGTTAAAGTTACTTTAGGCTCTATTTATTTTATTTTTATCATTTTGAGTTTAAAATTTAAGTTTTATTATAGTAAATTTTTTTTTTAAAATAGTCACATTTAAATTTTTTATTATAATAAAAAATTTTCACATAAAGTTACATATAAAATCAAATTAAAAATTTAAATAAACGAATTAAACAGACTCAAGTATATTAACTTAAATTTTTATCTTTTATTCTTTATTAATATCTTTTTAATTAATATAATTATTTAATTTTAAAAAATATTAATTAAAAATAATAAATAAAAATACAAACCCATACATTCTAATCTAAAGAGTATTCTTTTCTCGATAATTAAAGGATTGGATTTATAGGAGGCCAGGATTAAAAGGTTACGCTTGTTGATAATTTATAATAGTTTGGGGAATTATTTTACAAGAGTATGAAAAAAATGGCAGATGCAGTTTTTAATAGTTATAAAAATATATGTAATAATTTCATGAAATTTGATGGCCAGAAATTTTTTCCGACTGTATCAAAAAATTCTTCACAAATAAAATCCTCATTTGCTTTTTTTTTTTTTTTTAAACTGGAGAGGGAGCTTCTTTATTTGCCTTTTAAAATCTGCAATTTAGTTCTAAAGAACAGAAATTTGTGAGTCTAGCAAACTTTTTCAAGTGAACATTTTCTGTCTTCTTGTTCTTCTGTTATTTTCATTTGTTTTTGTTTTTGTTTTTTTGTACATTTAAAGATGAGTGTTTCATGTGAAAAATCTGCAAAGCACTCAATGGCCAATGGCAATCACTGATTCATAAATGAACCATAAAAGAACCTTCTTTTTCCTATGTCAAACCCACAGAAACCAAATCCTTGCAAAATCTAGTGCCATTGTCAAACATCTTCTTCGGGGACAAATTTGTCTTTCCCGTAAAGAAATTGACAGTCTGATCTTTTGTGGGTTACTTAAACCCGTACTTAAACTCTCCCTAAACAGAAGATGATATTACTAAGAAACACAATTATGTTCTCATTATTAGAAGTTCTCTCCTAGTTAGTCTTGTTATGAAAAATGAATAAATAAATACAGGAATAAGGATCAGATAAAAAACAAGAGAGGCCACAAGGGACACGACAAAAAAACCTCACTGGTTTTACCTGCAGTTGTGACCTTCTTTTTACGGGTAATGTTTACCAAGTTTGACTCCTCTTTTTACCAACTATTCTGCACATCGGTCTTTACCACCCCTGAAATCTTCGCTAAATTTATTTATCCATCATAAAACAAGAACTTTTTATTTATTTATTTATTTCTTGTTGTTGTTCTTCTTCTTCTTTTCATGGAGGGAGAGGAAAAAACTAAAAAAAAATTGGCTTCCACTTGTTGGACACTCTTTGAGTAACATTAACATAACCATATTACCAAACACCAGAACACTCTCTCAGAGCCAAAAAAAAAAAAAAAAAAAAAAAAAAAAGAGAGAGACCAAGAACACTCTCTTCTCTCTCTTTCTCGAGCCCCTACCTTCTTACCCACCTATGGTTGTACCTGGCCTTTACTATGTCGTCTACTTGCTCTCTCTCTCTCTCCCCTCAACTCTTTCTCTGTCTTCATCTCAACATAGTGATGGTTTATGAGGAAACAGAATCTCCACTAAATCCTCTTCTCTGTTGAATGGTCCTACTTTTAGCAAAAAAAGAGTATTTTCCTTCTGAAAAACAAAGGGAAAGAAATGCCTTTCTGCAATAGCATATTGCCTACGCAAAGTCTCTCTCTCTGTTGTTTGTAAAGCAAAGCTCTTTCTAAAGTGTGATAAAAATGGGTTTCTGGACTTTCCTAGTAGAAACCCTTCTCTTCTTATTGTTAAGCTTTAGAGAAGATGACATTTGAGACTAGAACTTCTCACTTCTCAGAAAGCTACGACATTTCCTACTCTCTAAAAACCCATTTCCAACAGCAACATTCCCCCATTTGGGCACAACCCATTTTCACATATTCCTCCAAGAAACAAACAAAAAAGAAAAAAAATACTCGACCTTTTCACTTATTCTATCTACCCCATTTTCAAAAGCAAGAAAAAGTCTCCAACTTTAGGAAGAGAAGAAAGATGGGATGTGTGGCATCTAAGCTAGAGGAAGAAGAAGTGGTGTCCATTTGTAGAGAGAGGAAAAACCAGCTAAAGCTTGCAGTGGAGAGAAGATATGTTCTTGCAGAAGCACATTGGAGATATTCTCGCGCTCTTTTTGCAGTTTCAGCAGCCATAAAGCTCTTTGTGGCTCGCCATTCTTCTCCTCCTCAACCTTTCCTCATTACCTTCCCACCACCTTGCTCTCCTTCTTCTTCTTCTTCCCCACCAAGGGATGAAACCCAAAATGTCATGATAAACAACCCCATGTTCCTCCAACAAATGCCATCAGAGTCAGCTTGTGAAGCCATTGACTGTGGGGACTCATGCGCTTCTTCAGTATCTTCCTCTGAAGAAGAGAGAGAAGAAGAAGAAGAAGAACAACAACAATATCAACAAGAAGTACGACAAGAAGAAAATATGAGAGATGAACAGTTACACCCACAACAGCCATGTGGGTATTTTTACATGCAAATGCCACCTTCAATGCCATCACCACAGAGGGATTTCGGGTGGGATTTCTTCAACCCATTTGACACCATGAACAGGCCTGAGGTTATGAGCGGTTATAGGAGGAACTCTGATGAGGAAGACCTGAGAGCCGTGAGGGAAGAGGAAGGGATTCCGGAGCTGGAAGAGGAAGACAATCCCAACAAGGTGGCTGTTGGGGAAGAAAGTGGTGAGAAAGAGAGAGAGAAAAGGAGTGAGAGTGAAGCTAAAACTGAAGTGATGAAGGTTGATGAGACTAGTGTGAGCCAGGTTGAGCAGAAAGGCTTAACGGTCATTGACACACCAGTTGAAGGAAGAGAACTCTTGGAGGCGTTGAAGGATGTTGAGGACTATTTCGTTAAGGCTTATGATTCAGGGAAGGATGTGTCAAGGATGTTGGAGGTTAATATGGTGCAAATACAGTCTGCTCTTGAAGAGATAAAAGGTGGGTCTTCTCAATCATTATGCAGTTTTCTGGAGCTTTCAGGACTTTGGTGCTTTTTTATTTTGTTTATTTATTTTTTCATGTTAGCTGCGTGAGTAACCTTTTATCAGTTGCAAGACAACTTCTAGAAGTTGATCTGAAATGGTAGTGGTGAAGATATTAGGTGGGGTTTTCATTTTTTTTTTTTTTTGGCTCCAGAAAACCTTCTCCAAGACTAGTTGATTTTTAACTTCCAGTCTGTGTTACACTTTGTTTCTCATGTAAGTTAAGTTACAGATTGTAGATTCTCTTCTTCTTTTTCCCATTTCTCTAATTATCTCCGAAAAGTCTCATCTAATCTACCATCTAGCATCTTTAGGACCTTCCTCTGCAAAGTACTTGTTTTTCTTATTTACCAATTTGATTCCAAAATTATCTGCCCAAACATCTGCCATTGCTGCTTTTCGTCCAAAATCTGGGCATCATTTCTTTTCATAAGTAAAATGGCATAGTTCTGTGAACATGTGTCCGACTGCCCTCTGCTCTTCTCACAGTGGGTCCAATATTCACTTGTTCTGTATCTATATATGTATTGCTCTCACATTCTTCCATTCTTTTTCTTGTCCTAATCTATACTGCAGACAAACACTTCTAGGGGGGAAAAAAAAAAAAAAACTTAGAAGCATTAACTTGACTTTGTTGTTATTAAGTTTTATGTTAATATGCATTAACGATTTCCAATCGTTCTATTTACAGAGAACTCAACAAAACTCATCCAGTCTATAACATGGCATCGATCCATTTCTTCCAAGCCTTCATCATGTAAGAGTCTCGTTGCGTCAAGCTCCAAGAGTTCCTCAACATGGACAGAATTTAAGAATGAGCTTTTTGATGATTTTGGAGGAATGGATTCTGGAAGCCATTCACTCACGTTAGGAAGGCTATACGCCTGGGAAAAGAAGCTCTATGAAGAAGTTAAGGTAAGTTATCATTGCTTAGAACTGTCAGGTTCGAACACAAACATCTGATAGAAGGTGACTAATTTAATGTTTGATAGAATATTCTGGCGTATTCTTTTCAACATTATTTCATAGTGACTTACGTTGTTCATAGGCTGGAGATAGCACACGGAAACTTTATGAGAAAAAATGTTCACGATTAAGAAACCAGGATATCAGAGGAGATGATGAACTTACCATGGACAAAACCAGAGCTGCTGTAAAAGATTTGTATGCCAGAATCCTGGTCACAATTAGGAGTGCGGAATCGATCTCAAGAAGGATTGAGAAGCTAAGAGACGATGAACTGCAGCCCCAAATTGTAGAACTGTTAAAAGGGTATGGAAGTGATCAGACAGAACAAGCAAAGCACATTTGCCGTGATTTCTGGATTTCCCTGATTTGATTTTTCGATTATGTTGTGCAGCTTAACACGAACATGGAAGATAATGCTGGAAGCGCATGAAACACAGAACAAGATTATGTTTGAAGTGAAAACTTTCACGTGCCCCACATTTGGAAAATTCTGCAACGAATCTCACTGTATTGCAACGGCGCAGCTCCAGGCTGAGCTTCATAACTGGCGTCTCTGCTTTACGGAGTATGTTGCAGCGCAAAAGGCGTACGTTGAAGCTCTTCATGGTTGGCTAACCAAGTTCATAGTTCCCGAAGTTGAGTTCTACTCTAGGGGCAAGGGCTCGCCGGCATCATGTCGAGTCAATGGCCCACCATTGCTTTTGATATGCCATGACTGGTTAGCTTCCATGGAGAATTTGCCAGCAAAGACAGTGGCCTCTGCGTTGAAAAGCTTTGCAAAAGATGTGAAGGCTCTGTGGGTTCAGCAAGGGGAGGAACAGCTACAAAAGAGGAAAGTTGATAGTCTGGCCAAAGAGCTTGACAAAAGAACTCGTACATTACAGAAAACAGAGAGCAGAATTCTCGAGTCCAAACTCATTGAATACAAGGAATCTGACGTGGATCATCAGAACCAGATCGAGTACTTGACAGAGAAGAAAGATGATCTGGACATGTTAAGAAGAAAGCTCGGCGTTGAAAAGGAAAAACACTACAATAGCATGCAAGAAACTCAAAGGATCACACTGAACGGATTGCAGACCGGTTTTTGTACAGTTTTTGAGTCCTTGGTAGAATTCTCCAAGGCATCCCAAAAGATGTACAATGATCTTGTGAATTGCAGTGAGAACGCTGCGAAAGCTGGAAATCAATCATATATAGAAGATGCAAAGGTTGAACAAAATAGCAGCAGATGACTTAGGGGTACTTGTGGCAGAGATATTTGGTGAAGAATTGGGTTATGGATTGTCTTGTGGATTTGTACATATAATGTATCGAAGCAGCTCGCTGAGACACATTTATTCGAACTGGTTAGGTTTTTGGAGTGTTGTAGCCATGATTTGTGACTGTTATCTAGACAATTATGGACACTCAAAATTTTGATGCACAAAAGTTCCCTCTGCTTAAAATAGGACTATAATATAATCCCTACGAGTAAAAGGGCACTTCTATTGGGCAATGCAGATAGGTTCTGATCGGTGACCATTTAAACAATATAGTTTTGCATCATCCAATTTATTTTAGAAAGAATTCTTTGACAGGGTATGTAAAGTAAAATACAGATTTTAAATTTAACCATCAAATTAACTTAAGGTGTAATTCTTTACTGCTAAGATCAAATCAGAAAGAATCCGATGACGATTGAACAGCTAAAACTCCGAATATACTAATAAAGTATTTTTCTACAAAAAAAGGGTATTATTTATATCCAATCAACAAATTCTCCTTATTTTATCTGTCTAATGACTTTATGATAAAGACAGGGGACGGATGACGCCTACTAATTGCCTTAAAAACTAACCAAGAAGTCATAGTATAGACAGATCAATAATTCCTCACCAAGGACAAAGAAATGACAAGTGCTTCAGTGTGTACAGAAAATAAAGAAGACAGCCACTACGACAAATCTCGTTTCTTGAGGGGCCACCGGACATCATTCCCACTGCAAATGCATCGTGTGAAGTGACTAAACCAGCAAAAACTAACACAGAAGTTAATCTCTTTAAACTCCTCGAACGGACAGTCAAGATTTCTTCTAGACAGCCCGTTTTGATATCTTCACAACGCTGTTTTCTTACGTACACGGCTCTGGGTAAACGAAAATCTCTGGTCCGTTTAGTACTTAGATTTGCTCTCTAATTTAAATTAAGATTTGTGATTCATTACAGTATTTTATCTCATAAAAAATACACATAAATTAAAAATAATTTTAATCACATAATTTAAATCATGAACCAAACGGACCCTCAATATGATTTCTACTAGGATCTAGTATCTACAGCCACTAAAGGCCATCACTAGGCCCAAGGCCATGCAGGCATCTTAGTGGCCAACTCAAGCACGTCGTATCATTAGCAAAAAAAAAAAAAAAAAAAAAAAAAAAAAGGAAAGAAAGAAGAAGAAGAAAAACAAAAAGGTTGATCATATTTCATATATACGTCTACAGTTTGTTACAAACAACCCTCCAGACGTCATAAATCTTGCACCAAACCAAAAAGAAGACATTTAGGCCTTCTTCGCTTTGTGAATTTAAATTTTTAATTTGAATTGAAATATGATATTTTTCTGAGAGTTTTTAACTGTAGCAGAAAAAGTTAGAAGTAACATTTTCTGAAAGTTTTTAGCTGTAAAAACCTAGAACTGAAAACTCAAATCGGTAAAATGAACGAAGCCTTAAAGACTCATAGACCTCGTTCATTTCACCGATTCAAGTTTTCAATTCCAATTTTGCTACAATTAAAAGCTCTTATAAAAAGTCACTTCTAACTTTTTCTGCTATAGTTAAAAGCTCTCACATAAAGTCACATCTCATCTCGAATTAAAAACTCGAATCAGCGAACTGAACGAGGCCATAATTTAGTGCATGAACACTGTATCTTTTACTAATTCAAAATTAGGAGAATTCTTTAGTAGTTTTGTAAAAACATCCTACTGGTAAGACAGTTTTTAACGGTTTTCCTTAAATGGTCATACTTTGTTTAATCAAAAAGGATTTTGATATAACGTGATGGTTAATGAGAGGGGACATCATTAGCAAAGAAAAATTGTCTCTTCAGTCCGAAGAAGTTAAGAGTTGGAATGACACTTCCCTAAAAATAGGGAAGAAGGTGAACAAAATCACCATGCTCAACCCAAGGGCATAAGATTCAGTCATGTAAATTTTAAGTGAATTTTTTTAAATGATCGAGTTACACTAGCTTCAATTGTGCTTTTTGTACAACATGCAATGATACACATCCTAATAAAATAAAAAAAAATAAAAAAAAAAGCCTGGGGCATGATCACGCAAATGCATAATTACATATTTCACAGTTGAGTGAAAATCACATTCTCTTAAGTCTTAGCTCTACCTCAAGTACAGGGACACCAAGAATTGAGAGATGAGTATTACTTCGCTTACTACAGCAGCAGGGGAATGCAGACCAAGAAATGGAACGATGTCTACCTGCAACCAGTTCTCAACTGCTGACCCCACGACTGCACCAGCAACAAGCCCACCTATGGTTATTATAGTAGCCTTCCCTGCAAAATTGAACAGAGAATAAGCTTCACATTATCAGAGTAACCTTATGTCAGATTTACCATTTTGTATCAATACCAACACCAATAGATAATTTATATCAATATCACTTAAAAAAAGGATAATTTATATCAATACCAACAAATATCAACAAGACAGATTCTTTAACCAAAAGGTTCAAGTTTCTTCAATAATCAAACTCTGCATACGACTTGTATTTGAAAAGCGTGAATTTAACATCTGACATCAAACAATTTCAGGATGAAATGAAACTTGCACATTTTACATTACATGCTCTATCAATTTAAAGGTCTGGTTTTTTCAACTTTCGATGCCCATTTCCTTGAGAATTCTTTCATCATTTCCATTCATTTCTCCCTTGCTTCTCTCTTTTCAATACTGATTAAGAGTAAAGGACTAACTAGATACACACGCGCGCGCGCACATAAAGAGGCTTCCAAGAATAGAATGAATTCGTGCATGATAACATTAAAATAGGAGTATGATTAGGCCAAGATTCTTAATTTCTCGAGACAAGTTAGCTTCAATCCTAATATAATATGCAGGAAAATTTGTACATAAGAAAATTATTACCTAACTTCACATTCTTTTTCGTCATGAAGTACAAGGAAGCTCCAAAGCTACCAGCCAAGATCAGTCCAGGAACATCAGCCCCAGCATATGGCACAGCAGAAGATGTGGAAGTTCCGTTGACGTAAGTTAAGACCATTAAAGCTCCATAAACACCTGCCTTTAAGCCCAAGTCACCCTTTGATGGTGTCTCAATCAAAACTGGCGAGTTCTTCACAGAAGCTTGCAGCCACTGAGGCATTGATCCACTCCCAGGAGAACTTACAGGCTTAACATCAGCGTAGCGAATGCGACTACTTACAACCTTTCCTGCTCGTCTCTGAGTTAAGCTCCGCATGAGCAACATGTCATATGCAGCCTCCACCTAAATGACGTTTAACAGGACAGCGATATGGAGAATAAAATAATGAAAACAAGTTTTTATCGAGATAAACAAAGATTATCAAAATAAATGCTGGTGCTAACTTAATATATAATAACAATTCCATATCGATCTGTACTAGCCACGAAGGTTCATAATTTCAAAAATAATGCTTCTAATTTTAAATGAAAAAGACCCATATATTACCATTAAGACCCCCTAGAATTATACGGTTTGCAATCATGTATACAATATAAAAAGATGCCACACAAAGTTGTCTGTACTCTTCTCTCCTTTAAAAACAAGGTTTCCACTCCCGCTGCTCAAAAACACTTTTTAAAGCTCAAATATTAGAGGTCCTTCACAAATTCATCTTGGACTGAATAAGTAGTAAATCCACCTTTAAACGTTGTCTGGTTCACAGTACCTATATCAAAATTTGAAATTTTAAGTGAACTCAACTATTTTCAGCAATCAGCAGCAAAGCTCACTCAAAAGCATCAAAGCAGTTACCTTTTTTTTTTTTTTTAACCAAAAAAGAAAAAAAACCAAGAAACTGCAATATTTTAATAGAAATTCAAAACAAATACTTAAGATTTCTTCGACTCTTGCACGGTTCGCATCCATTTTCTATCAGCATCCTCAAACAATTTCATAAAAACTTTTCTGATTCGGAACACTCTAAAAAGAAACACACTCCGGTGAGAATAGAACAAAAGAACGAAAATTTTCTAACGCCGCCATCTCCAGAAGACCAAAAGCTCCAGAATTCGACTTTCAGTTCCGTTAGTAAAATGGTGCGAGCTAGAAAAGAAAGGAAAAGAACCTGAGCAATTGCTTCCTGGTCGTCCTTACAAGCGGCGACGATCGAGTTCTTGGCGCGAAGTATGTCGTCGAACGAGGCTCCCTCGGAGACTCCGAGGAGCTTCAAGGCGTTCTCCACTGACATCTCGAACGGCGCCGAGTCGTCGGCTCTGGAGCCGGCGCGGACCGGCGCCGGCGTCGTCTTCGCTAATGCCAACCGGGATGGAGCGATTGAGCCGGTCCAGGGCTCAAATTTGTCGGCCGGTCGTCGGAAGTGGACCGGTCCAGTTCGTCTGTGAGGCGGTGAGGGGAGAGAATAACCGCCGGAGAGGCGGTTGGGGCGGACGGAGAGAGTGGCTGCCATATTCCGTCGGAGTAGCGAAAACGTGAGGCTGGTTTTTGGGGACGCGCGCGCGTGCTGACTGGTTTGTTTATACGGAGGTGACGGTTGAGATGTAAGCAAATAGAGTACAGGAGTGTACAGGATGATTTTTATTTATAGTGAAGGATTAATTTGGTGTGGGGTAAGTCTTTCCTTGGATGTGAGCCGTCCGATGTGCACTTTTTTTTTTTTTTTTGCTAATCTGATGTGCACGTAATTTTGTCATATAACATAATATTATACTAATGTTGACCATATCAAAAAAATAATAATAATAAAATAAAATATTTTACAAATAAAAAATAATTATAAATAATTATAATTATTATTATGTAACTTTGTAGCATAATACGTGATAACGTTAGAAAATTGTAGTATGTAGCTTTTTTTTCAACTTAAGAAGTTTTAAGACGTTAGAAGTAAATAACAAATTTACAACGTAAATAATTTATTCTCTTAATAAAATAAATTATTACTCCAAGTAAAGTAGATAGTTAGGGCTTGTTCTTTTGAGTGAAAAACTCAAAAAAAGGTAACTCGAGTTATAATTTTATTCGAGTTCATATTCTTTTAAGTTTAAATTCGAATTTAAACTAGAGTTCAAACTCGAGTTTATGACTAAAACTCGAGTTCAAGTTTCCCTTTCAACTCGAGTTCAAAAACTCGAACTCAAATTAATGAACAATATTTTTTCTATTCTTAAAAATGCTATAACTTTTTCGTTTTAATTCTGATTGAGATGATTTTTTTTCTATGCGTTGACAACGAAAAGACGAATAAAACCCGACCCATATATCATATTAAAATTTTTCATCAGCATTGAGTTTTTATTAAAATACTATCTAAATACAAATTCAAGTTTTGACTCACTCAAACACAAACTCAAAAAGATTATTATCTCAAACCATAACTCAAATGTATACAACCAAACACAAACTCAAGTTACAAGTTCAACTCAAGTTATAACTCAAATTCAATTTAAGAATTATACTCAAGTTAAACTCCAAAAGAACAAGCCCTAAATATGGTATTTACTTTCAATATTTTAAAAACTACTATCGAAGTGAAAAATGGTTATTTCCTCTGATAAAGTTTAAAAAATCTATTTTCTCTAATTTGTTATTCCTAAATATTTTTAAGAATAAAAATATTTGGTGATTACTCAAAATATGTTTTCAGTTAAAAAAACCATTCATCTTAGGGTTTTTAACTTTCTCTCTCCACACGAATTAGAGAAAAAAGAGAGTGAACGACGGCTGGCGTTCTAGGGTTGCCTTTGGGCGTGTCACCAGGCTCCTGGCCATAAACTTTGTCTTTCAGCTTGCCTCGTTATGAGCTTCTCATTAGTGGTGACAGTGTATGGTGTGGTGGCTCCGTTTGTGTAGATCTAAACCAGTCTGTAACTTGGAAGCCAAATGGATGGGCTTCATTTCCATGTGAGTTTATCGTTTGGTGACTCAGATCTCTTGGCCGATTATCTGCCTTGACGACCCATTGGCCGGTTGCCCTTCACTTGAGGCTTCTAACGGCAGTGGTCGGAGGTTTTTTATGTTCTTTTGATGTAATTTTCATGTTTGTAATAAGGGCGGTGGTTTCTTCACTCGACCCTCGCTTATTTTGCTATTTGTTGTTAGTTTTTGGTAATTGGTTTAAGGCCATTTGTATGTCTCCTGGTAGGGTTGTCTTAATCTGGCTATAATTTTTTTATGCCGTGTAGATTTCACTCTTTGTGGGGTTTGGAGATCTGTCCCTCTAGCGCTCAAAAGCGTATCTCGATAGGAGGGGTTTCTTTAATTCGAGCTTTAAGCATGCTCGTTGTTAGTGCGGCCGAGGTGTTCTTCAAATTTTGGGCCTCAAACGTGCGTCTATCCTTCTAATGAGTCATTAACATTGTACCAAGATGACAATTTTCCTATAAAAAAAGAATCAATATATTTCAATTTTACTATTATAAATATGTTAAGTTGTACTTTTTAAGTGAGGTTTTCCTATTTGTGAGCTTGTGGATTGCTATAACAATGTTATTAGTATTGGTACAACCCATTGATGTTCAACATTACAAATACTGCCGACACTAAGAAGTCTACATAGAGTTCCATTATTATTATTTTTAAATTAAATGTGGTGTTAAACACTACTAATATTTCCACACATTTTTCCAAATTCTTATTAGCATTGCTATTGTACCGGTAATAGATTATGATAGACATTATTAAAGTGTGGATCTCAAAAATAAGACATATATTAATAGGTAATAGAAAGGCCACGCTAGAGTACGCTGGTAATGTCCCCAAATGCTCTTATTTGGATTATAAGACAATTTGGATTGTGGGGGAATTTTTGCCAAAATTACTGCCTTTAGTACGAGTTAGTTTCATTTTTGGAAAAAGAAAAAATTATTGATTTTATACGACAATGTGCACTTTCAACGTTGCTGTTTCAATTTAATTTCTTCAAACAAATTATATAACGATATGACATTGTTTACCGCACTTTAACTTATAAAGAATAATTGGTGAATACTAAACTTAATCGTAGCTACAGTCACTATAATAGTTGAATAAGATGTGTTGAATAAGTAGAAGAGAAATTAAATATTATCAAATTAAATAATTAATAAAAGAAAAGGAGAAAGTGACTGTTGAGTTATATAACGAAATGGAATTACAAGTCTATTAAAAGCAACTTATCGTGTGACAGTGGGATTACTCAGCTTAAGAATCTTATAAGAATGGTTCCAAAACGTAAGTGTGCATAAATAACATCTTTAACCAAGATGTTTCTATCAAAAAGTTTGGTTACTTTGGTAAATGTGAGCTTGATTATAATAATGAAATATAAAATACCAAAACAAGATTGGTGACATTGGTCCCAAACGAGGTTCAATTACCAATCCCGTTCAGCAAGATAATCCAAACTTCAAATATCGCGTTACAGAAACTCAACTAATTAAGGGGGGAAAAGGATAATTTCTCAATAGTTTAGTAACTATAATTAGATAAATAGATTGTATAATAATAGAAAATGTCTAATTTTGCAAAAATTAGATTTATTGAGTATTTTGTATATGGATAGGACATATTTTTTTATCATCACATTATAATCGTATTAAACTATTAATTTACTAAAATTTGACGGTCCATTCGTATAACACTTTTTTTTTTATTTACCACATGAGAATATGATATTTAAGTGCAAAATATGTATCATCACACTAGTGGCAAACAATGGGTGCGTTTAAAACTCATTTCGAAATGATTTTATTTTTTTTGTATGAAAATGAAAATGAAAACGTTTTTAATCTCAGACATAAATCATTTTTAAAAAACGTTTGGTAATTTTATCAAGAGATTATTTTCAATATAAAAAAATCTATTAATGTCTATTTCTCTCTCTCTTTGCTCGAGAGAAGAGAAAACGGAAATAAAAAGTAAAAACGACTAAAAGTCGTTTTCCATTCTCTTCCATTTTATACTAAACTAAAAAATTGATTTTATTTTCGTTTTTTATCTTTAATTGTGTCAAACGCCGTTTCTCTCATATTTTTATTTTTTTTTTCTCAAAAAATATAAAAAATAAAAACAAAAACAACTCTAAACACAGTCAATGTTTTATTATTATTATTATTATTAAAGGTATAGTAGTAAACAATTTCAATAACTTTCTTTCGGTTTACCAATTTCCATCACCTAAATCCCGTATATATCTCAACTTTCTGTATAAATGATTAGACATATAGCAGAGATAATAACATGAAAAATAATGTTTGGATACAACTCAAATCTCAATGTTTTATGTACTAATTGATTTAATATGTAAATTGTTATTTTTATATTTATAAGTATTTAAAATATTATTATGTTAATTAATAATAAAAAATTATATTTATTAATAAAAAAATAATAACTCACATATTATATTAATTAATATAAAAAAATAATAGAGATTTAAGTTGGCCACCTAACACTTCTCCGACGTATAAAAATACATATGTTTTTTACTGAGATTTCTTTCAATTTTGCGTTTCCATCACTGTTGAGATATTCACATACCTTGGGAAGGATATCGAACGGCTGAGATTACTGACACTAACAAGCTTTCATGATCAAACGTGGGATAAGATCAAAGTCTGATATGAAATTGACACGTGCGCCTAATATAGACAGAGAGCCATAATTTTCACTATCATTGGAGGGACAGGCAGTTTGAAAGCCATCGACGTGCCACTTTCACGACCAGGAGTTTCGAAACGCGCCAAATCCAAAGAAACGACCAAAGCAGAAATAGAAAAAACCAAAAAAAAAAAAAAAAAACTTTGACGCAAAAACTTTCAAAGCCAATACTTTTTTTTTTTTGGCTTTATTTTTGTTTTTTGGGGGATAATAATGAACCTGGTGGATATTAATTGGTCCGACTGTTTAAGCTAAAAAGCCTGAAAAAGCAGAGCAATCAGAGGGAATAGCTTTAGCGTGTAACTGTTAATTTAATAAGCTTATGATGTCGTTGGCTATTAGTTGGAGGCTGACAGTAGTGTCAGTCCCACTGAGCAAACGACGTTGTTCCAGCAGATATGGAAGTGGCCGGTTTCGCTGCTCAGCTGAAGCTGATTTGTCAGACCACAGTAATGGAGGAGAAAGCATCGAGAGGAGGAAGAAGGTGGTTGTCGTTGGCTCTGGCTGGGCTGGCCTCGGAGCAGCTCACCACCTCTGCAACCAGGTCTTATCGGTTCTCCAACTCTTTTGATCCCTTTTCTGACTTTTTTTCGTATGTCCGTATAGTTACATGGTTTCTACGGGTGTATAACGTTCAGGCCCATTTGGTAAATATGTTTGAACTTAGAATTATGATTTTGCTCCGGTGTTTTTCTCTTATTAAGGTCCGTTCACTTCACCCACTCGAGTTTAGAATTTAAGTTTTACTACAGTAAAAAGTTCTCAGAAACAATCACATCTAACTTTTTTGTTACAGTAAAAAACTCTCAGATAAAATTACATATCAATTCAAATTATAAACTTAAATCAGCGAAATGAACGGACCATAAAAATTTAAATTTAAAAATTTCTCATCAATAATTTTCTCGCATAGTTCTGCTAATGAATCAGAATCACTTATTTAAACATGTGAACACGTGTGCTTACTTTCTTTTAGTGAAAAATTCAATAAATATAGTCCAAACAAATGTAATATTGAGTGTTGTATAAATGCTGCGTACACGTGATGTTACACGAGTATGCACAAATAGTTATATTTGTCACTTTGTACAACATATTTATAGGAGGGTATTTGAAATTTTATGAATAAAAATCAAACTTTCAAAATTCTGAATTGGGGCGCGTGGTGTAATCATTGGTGATAATCATAAGTAGTCAGGTGGTTCTACGTTTGAACTTCTGTGATTGCACTTTCTAAGTTGTCAGGTTTTTGTGAACGGACGAAGATGAGTGAAATTTAAGTTGTTGGAATTCTTTCTCAGGAATTTGATGTCACGGTTCTTGAAGGCGATAATGGTTTTGGTGGTGTGGAAGATGTTGGTAATCGAGGTAATGTTAAAGCAGTTTAGTTTACTTTTCACCTTTTTGGATTTGCTGGTTCCTGGTTGCATTCTTTTGTGTTATGTAATTTGTGAAGAATGAGGATTCTCCATATATCACTCATGTTTTATAGACACCTTGCTGATTTAGCTGGCTCAACTTTTGTGATGGAAATTCTAGGAGTTAATCCAAATAATTAATGAAATACTTACCTAACCACCAATGAGGTGATGCAGCAATTACAATGCTTTTCTTTATTCTTCTCTGGCTGTCGAGGTCGGGAAGGGTTCAAAGTTTGATACTCTATATTATAAGGTTTGGCGCTAGGCTTTTGGTGCTGAGAGTGAAATTGCGCCCATCTTTTAAAGAATTAGGTTAGATCACTTTCCATTCTATTGGTGAGCTCTGAGATTTCTACTATAGATGAAGGCAATTATGGGGACCGGATGGCACGAACGATCCTTTTTTATCAGGAAAAGAAAAACCCCCCAACATTGTTATATTACCACTAGCTCTAATGACTAATATGTGGATGATGTATGCACGTCTGTTGATGTTTGAACTGATCAAAGTTTTCTTCCATAAGCTTATTAATTTTTCAAATTCCACAATTTTCTTCAGGATATTGGTATCCCTACAAGAACATCTTTAGCCTTGTTGATGAGCTAGGCATCAAACCATTCACCAACTGGACAAAATCTGCTCAATATTCCGAATACGGATTGGAGGTATAGTTCAGACCTAGGTTCAATATTGTTGATGCAATAGGTTCCTAGAGTCTTTCAATGCCAATGGCTTTTCCTCTTATCCCTTAGAAGTATTTCTACTGACCATAAAAAAGGTTCCTACTTCCTAGGATTCAGTTTGAGGATTCAAAATTTGTTCACAGAGACAGTCTGATTAACTCTGCAGGTTGAGTTTCCAATATTCCAAGACCTGCCTCAGTTGCCAAGTCCTTTAGGAACTTTATTCTTTACCCAAGTATGTTTTGCTTGCATCCTTATGTTTCATTGCTTATATTTCTGCTGCAAATAAATGAAATCTTATTGCAGCCTTGTGTTGATCAATAATCTTTACATGGTGTGCAGTTTTTTCAGCTCCCAGTAGCCGATAGATTTACATCACTCCCCTTAATGGCTGCAGGTAAATACTCGCCGATAAATTCGAAATAACATAATCACCACCATTATAATGACAAGAGAAGCATTTAGGATTAACTTTAGGAGATTTTATCCATCATTTTTTGCATTGAGAAGAAGAGTATGTCCTTCTAAGATGTACCCTTTTTTCTTTTTTTGGTCCTTCACAGCTATCGACTTTGACAACACAGATACGGCATGGAGAAAATACGATTCAAGTAAGGATTTCTATTGCTGGTGTCCATTTCCACCATAACTAGATTAGTAGTTACATGCATATGATAGTTAATGAATAGAAAGATGAGTAATTAGTGTCTTATGTGGAAATTATTCAATCGTAGTTACTGCGAGGGAGCTTTTCAAGCAGTTTGGGAGCTCAGAAAGGCTGTATAAGAATGTGATTGGTCCATTGCTTCAAGTTGGTCTGTTTGCTCCACCAGAACAATGTAGTGCTGCTGCAACTCTGGGAATGCTATACTACATCCTTGCTCATCAGGTCTTTATTGAGTCCATCAGTTTCTTTCTAGAAAACATGGAAATTTGGGCAAAGTATTGTGAAGCCTAGCCTTAGGATAGATTAATGATACAACCTGAGCTGAATGGTGATTATAAATGTTGACATTGACTCATTAACAGTGACATATGGGAAGTTCTCTCCGCCTATGTAATAAACAAAACGAGTAAAAAAAAAAAAAAGGCATTTAGGAGGTGTGAAAACATAAGAAAATATTCATGGGTTTCTTGTCAAATTACTTTTTGGATGGAATGGTATACACTGTTGCCAAATTCTATTCCTTAGATTGAAAACTGTTGAGTAAAGTTTTCTTTCTACAATGGATAAAGACCAACTGGAACTGCAGCTTTCGCTATACTTAACGAGAAATCGAGCAAAGAAACAAAAATGGACAGAAGAAATGAATCTGTAGTTTGTGTGCTTCCATTGAGTAGTGCTTTTTTTTTCGTGTGTTTTTCCTCATAGCCAATATTTTTTTTCCCTTTTTCGGGTGGATACAGAAAGATTTTGATATGCTATGGTGCCGAGGGACAGTTAGAGAAAAGATTTTCGAGCCATGGATAGACTCCATGAAGACTAAAGGTTGTGAATTTATAGAGGGAAGGAAAGTAACCGGTGTCTCCGTCAATGAGGAGACAGGCTATGTTTCAGCAGTAACTTGTGGCACAGAGACATATAATGCTGATGCAGTTATTTTGGCTGTTGGAATCTCCACACTTCAAGATCTTATCAAAAGCAGGTATATCATTTCACAGTTGAGCATTCTTCACTCACCATAACAGTTTGTAGAGTCCTAAAAGTCAACCCTCTTTTTTACATCCCTTTCCAACCAGAGTTGACTTTGGAATCATGTATAGTGCAGTGCTATGTGCAAGAGAGGAGTTCCTCAAGGTTCTCTACTTGGATAGCATTGATGTAGTTAGTGTGAAACTTTGGCTTGATAGGAAGGTCAGTGAAAGCAAAGGAATTCCCTTCTTCTAGTTTTACATCTATTTGTTTTTCATTTTTCCTTACGAAAACACATGAAGAATTTATCAAAGTTTTGTCCGACGAAACAGGATTTGTTTGAGTACAAAATCTAATTTTGCGCATGCTTCTGGTGAGAAAATTAGTAACATAATGATGTATCAGAGATGAAGATTTCAAGTTTAAACCCATGTAATTAAAAGTTTTAAATTGTCACCGTATGTTGAGTCTCCAACACTTTTGGGCTTATCATCAAATATTTTTGTGTCGTGCCTTCTGCTAATGTTGACTCACAAGATTGCATATTATCTACCCCACGTATGAAAGAGGAGTACTAGAGAACAAAATCTAATATTCGCCCACCTCCAAAAGCTCAGTAACAAACCTGCTTCCTTGTTTCGCAGCTAATTCCTTGTTGACCTCCTTTAACAGGTTAACATTCCATACGCAAACAATGCTTGCTCGGGATTCGACGATTCCTTCGGATGGACTTTCTTTCACTTGAACGCAATTCATGACGAGCACAAAGACGGTCCAGTAACAGTGTTGCAGGCTGATTTTGTGAGTATCTGAATCCCTGAACACCCCACTAAAGCGTTACAAATTTGCTTGAAAAGGTATTATCTTATCTCATCATTGTCTCAAATGTCTTGTTACACAGTATTATGCCAATGAGTTGTTGCCGCAGAAGGACGAGTATATAGTTGCAAAAGCAATGTCATACCTCTCAAAGTGTGTCAAAAACTTGGTGAATGTTGCAGTCACGGAAAATGAGATTAAAAGATTTCCGAAATCCTTGACTCACTTCTTTCCCGGTATTTTTCTTGAAGAGTTTGTTGTGACACAAGTTTGGAAGCAAATTTTTACGTACTTGCATGTCATGATCGGTTAGATCTACAAAATTTCTTAATCGATCTCTTAGCTGCACCTCAAAATAATTAGCAGTAGACAAAAATAACTAGATACAGAAGTTAAAACCAAAATGGAATTGAATATTTAAGAAGCTATCACGTCCTTTTCACTGTTTGAATTATGATTCAACCTTTTTGTTACAGTATTTTTTCTCATACAAATTTAAATTCCGGCTCAAATTTTCCTATTGAACCTGCAAAAAAGAACGGGTATTTGCACGAATGAACATGTAACTAAAATTGCAATAGGTGTCAAAGTTTTGGGACGGCCAGGTCGTCTTTTTGTTTCTAAATTTTATCCTTTTTAAATTTTAATTCGTTTTTTACACCAATCAACTCCCTTTTGAAGATGTTCTTGCACTTTGCTTCAAAGAATAAACAAATCAATAGACAAAGTTCTTGCACTTTTCACAGAATATGTTGCACTAGTTTGTGTGAGGCACTACTGCTTTGTGTCTTTCCTTTTTTTTTTAAATTTTTTATAACTCTTCTTTTTCTTAGGTTCATACAAGTACATGTTGCGGGGGTCAACATCTTTCCCAAACCTGTTCATGGCCGGAGACTGGATTATAAACCGACATGGTTCGTGGGCACAGGTAATTAGAATTTTAAACATAACATTGTATTGGATTGGATTTTTCTATTTATAAATGTTAAAATAGCATTGCAACGCTAAATTTTGACAGATTAATTTGGCACATGCAATGGAGATATTCTAAACCTTGAGAGTACAAATGACACTAAATTTCTTTAAGGAAAAAAAAAAAAAAAACAGTATCAGAATTATAGGGAGCTTATATTCATGTGACTGGTAAAGTGGTATGGTATTAATACCTTACCAATAATTCTTAAAAGTTAGCCATTTTGACAGGGAGTTCTTTTTATTGGCGGATGTACCATTCAAATTAATTTTTTAACTGTTAAATTTAATTAAAATTATATTAAATTAAAAAATTATACAAAACATACAATTTATAATATAAATGTAATGATTTAAAAAAAAAAACGAAACTAAAGAAAGTACTCTTTTGAACTGTTTGGTTGGCAGGAAAAGTCTTTTGTCACGGGACTTGAAGCAGCCAATCGCGTTGTGGATTGTCTGGAAGAAGGAAGCTTCGCAAAGATAATACCTGTAGAGGAAGATGAGCCTCACATTGAAGCTCTTCGGAGCCTCAACAGAAGGTTTAACGAAATTAGAGCCCAACTTCCATTGTCGGATTATTTTCTCTAAGGCCCTTAAGTTAACTAGTAATTCTGTTGTTGTATAGTTATGATTTGTCACCTTTCTTTTTTACTCCCAAAGAAAAGCACCCATGGCCGCACAGTCCTGTGATTAATAAATAAAATAAAATAGACCAAGCATGATTCATGTGAACATATATGAAAAGCACTCTGCCACTCTTTTTGGACCTCTTTTTCAGCTTATAGTTTATTATTATTTTTTCACGTTTCTTATTGTTAGATTTAGTTAAAATCACCTTAAAATAAAATAAAAAATCAAGATAAATAATTTCTATATGGATTTAAATGTTGCAATATATATATATATATATATCTATATATATCAGTAGTGATTTTTAAGGTCTTGCAATGGAAATCCTTTTTTTTTGTTGTTGTCATATTTTCTATCTCGGCCATTCACCAAAAAAAAAAAAAATAAAAAAAATAAAATAAAAAACTTCTTTTGCCCAAGAAAATTGTGGAAAATGGAAAAACAAAATTCCAAAATGGCAAAAAAGTGGATTTCTGTAGGAGGTTATAATTTCTGAAAGCAACAAATAACATTTGACTTCTGAATGATTATTGTTGAATGATACCGATGTTGTGTGCATCATGGGCACCTTTGTCTATTATTATTATTTTTCTCTTTTGATGCTTAAAAGCTCCCCTTGTTCCGTTTCACTTTACAAATACTCAAAAGTCGAAACTCTCCCTTTCACTCGGTAAGGTTAACAAATAACCGCCTTACTTACCAAAAAAAAAAAAAAAAAAAGTTAACAAATAACCAAATTTCAGATTTTGTCTAAAATTCTAGGTGAAATAAGTTAAAATTTTAGTAAAACGTGGAGACAATTCCAAAATTGTACATGAGATTTTTAGTACGATTGACGTTACTCGCCTGAATGGATAGTTTTCTTCATTTCTTGTTTAGAATTGATTGACTGAAAATGCACTAACTTGTTAAACATGAAAATATATATGGAGCATAAAGGTCAATAACGGGCTTTACTCATTGCTCTCAGATTCAAACTGATTATCAATTCTTAGCCAGTTAGCTGCATTATTTCCTCCACTAGTTTTATTCAGGGACCTTTTCATTTGCTATTAATAATAAGTATTATAATGAGATATTTTAAGATGCACGAGTTCAATTTCCTCAATCATAAATGTGGTCGTTGGGCTAGCATGGGAACTTTTTACATGTATTTAGAGAGTGACACTAACGTGATTATCACTTATGCGACTGATTATTAACGAAGGTGACTTGTTAAATTTATACTATTATTAACAATAAAAATATTGTAACTAATGTTCTGAGTGTGGAAAAAATGCTAAGCGAAATTATATGGAAATAGAGCATTATTTTCACTCTTTTTTTTTTCAAAAAAAAAAAAAAACTTTTAAACTCAGTAGATTAAACCACATTTCAAATTCTTAAAAAATAAATTGTTAAAAAAGGTTAGTTTTGTAAATTGGCCAAGAATAAGTGTTACGACAACAAAGAATTAAAAAAGGTTAGTTATGTCCAATTTCGTTACTTTTTGGAAACTTTTTCGGATTAATTTTGCATTTAGTCTCATAACTGCGTCACTTTACTCCCGATTTTTACTCTGTTCTCTTAAACTTCATTCCGTTAAGTTCATGAAGACACAGTGGTGCATTTTGAAAGTTGGAAAGCCTACGGCTCCGTTTATTTCGCTGGTTTGAGTTTAGAATTTGAGTTTTGTTATAATAAAAAGCTCTCACAAACAGTTACATCTAATTTTTTTACTATAGTAAAAAGCTCTCATATAAAATCATATATCAACTCGAATTAAAAATTCGAATCGGCGAACTAAACGAGCCCGTAATGATGCATTATCAAAGTTGGGGGGGCCAAAGTGATGAAGTTTCGGAAGGAGGGGACAAATATAGAATTAATTGGAAGAAAGCCATAAACATAAAAATAATCCAAATGGTATCTCCAACTCACCCGTGAGGCCGTAACGGTGACATCAAAACCTGGCCCAATCCACATGCTCATATCTCCGCCAATCTTAGCGAAATGGGGAAGTTTTCATTCCACACTCTACACCCCTTATCATCTGATAAAAAGTGAACCTGCTTTTCTTACCAATAATATCTCGGCACGCAAGTTGCTGAACTTTTAACGAACCAATCATTGGACCCCACAAATTGGACGTATCTACACTAGACAGCTGCCTTTTGTCGTTTCTCGTATATATTGTCTCTTTTCCATTCCAAACCCCTGTTTTCTTTTTATTTTTGTTTTCTTCCCCAAAGAAAAAAGTAATAAAAAAATCATTATTCATTACCCCTATTCGATTGATGGGACTATAATTACCAATTTACCACCTCCAAATTTACAAAAGTAATAATTCCATCATATATACATAATTATAAAAATATTTTGGGTAGATAATTATTTATTTATATTTTTCAGTTTTTGGTCCATTGGATCTCTCCTCCGTTTATTATTATTCGTTTCTGCACTCTCTGCTTCGTCGTCTCTCTCTTCCCTCTTCCTGTTCAGATCGAGAAGAAAGGTATGCTTTTCAGATCGTACCGATTTCTTCGTCTCTCCATCGTAATTCCTTTTAATTTCAATTTCGATTTCTCTGATCGGCGAACTCTCTGATCGGAGAGCTCGGTTGCGCAAGATTTTGGCCTGTTCTTGTTCCGATAATCGATCTAAAGGTTCTGCTTTTTGGGAAGTCGGAGTCAATTTTTTCTTAAAAAGAGCATTAGGATCACTTGATTTTTGAGTTTTGCTGATTATCGGAGATTTGAAATTTGTGAGTTTTCTAGTTTTTGATTTTGGGGAAATGTTTGGTTGCCGAGAAAATTGGGGGGAAAGTGGAACTGTGATATGGAAAATTAAAGCTTTGATTGATCTGTTTAGGAAGTATCTGAGTCTACTTTAAGTGTTTGGACAAGCTGAGATGGTCAAAATATGCTTTTTTCCGCTTTCCTGCCAGTTTGCTTCATTTTCGAAGTTCGAATGATTTTGGTTCAAGCAAAATTTTAAAATTCCTATATTCCTAAATCCATATAATTGGATTTTTTTGGTTAGGCGTACTGTTATATGTGTGATCTGAATCTTCTCTGGATTAGTTTAAGTCGTTTGACATTTGTGATTTGACTGCTAGGGATTGCTGCCTATAGAAACTGGTTCCAAATAGTTTGGAGTTACTGTGTATGTTCTTTATGGCATATATTAGTGTAATCTAATAAGCTAGTTTTTATTCTTATTACTTTATTTTTGTTTTGTAGGCTTTATTGGTGAAAGCACAAAAATGGGTGTTGCACAAAACAACATCGACACAGATGAGGGAACTTTGGAGGTTGGCATTGGTAAGTCGAATTCTGATCCACTGTATTTGGGGATGGTGTTTTGTGAAGTGATAGGGGGTATCTGACTTTTCTCTAGGGATCGTACTTGAAACTTTTATAAATTAACAGTGAATTGTCGCCACATGTTTAGACCGAAAAAAAAAGAAAGAAAACATTTGACATTTCGTTGAGTGGAGCTCAGCTAATGGATCGATGTTGATAATTTTTTTTTTTATCCTTTTGCCTTGCAGAATATAGAACTGTCTCCGGTGTTGCTGGACCCTTGGTTATCCTTGAAAAAGTTAAGGTATGGTATTCGGCTCTCTCATGCATCCACTGCCACATTTGGAGGCTTGTTAATCTTCGCAATCAGGATGGTTTGTCTCCTTTCATAATGTGAAGACTCATGCATTGTTTCTAACTGTTCCAGGGACCAAAATATCAGGAGATTGTTAACATTCGTTTGGGAGATGGAACAACTCGACGTGGTCAAGTCCTTGAAGTAGATGGTGAGAAAGCTGTTGTTCAGGTATTGTTGTTCAATCTCTTCATTATTTGGCATTCTTGTATGGATAAATAATCATTAAATTAGGACAAGTATAATATTATTATTGTCGAACTGTGTGAATTTGTTCTAAAGAGCAATCCAATTTAGGGAATATGTTTCAGTTAATCAAGTGATTAATTGCACCACTTGGTGTAACTCCATATGTTTTTTCCCTCTTTGTTGTGACGATATTGTCAACATTGAATGCATCTTTTTTTTATCCAGGTTTTTGAAGGAACATCTGGAATTGACAATAAATTTACCACCGTGCAATTTACCGGGGAGGTATAAAACCAATTCTTGTAGCATATTGTTTGTTAACCGAGGAAGGATAACAAGTGCTAGAGTATACTTTTTTAGCTTCTCTATCATCTTTATTAGAGAAAATTTTGATCCCCTCTTGTCCTGGCCATCTTTTTCAGGTTTTAAAAACTCCAGTCTCATTGGACATGCTTGGACGCATTTTTAATGGTTCTGGAAAACCAATTGATAATGGCCCTCCTATTTTGCCCGAGGCTTACTTGGATATATCTGGTGAGTTATCAGTGTGAAAACCATCTAGTTAAATGAGATATATATTAGTATTACTCTAGACCATAGATATTTTTTTAACATCCTTCCCTTTGTTATTGTCACCCCTAGGGAGTTCTATCAATCCCAGTGAGAGAACATATCCTGAAGAAATGATTCAGACAGGGATTTCTACCATCGATGTGATGAACTCCATTGCTAGAGGACAAAAGATCCCACTTTTCTCTGCTGCCGGTCTTCCCCATAGTGAAATTGCTGCTCAGATTTGTCGTCAGGCTGGTTTGGTCAAGCGGCTGGAGAAATCTGATAATCTTCTTGAGGTGCAGTTGAGAATTCGTTTTTAAAAGTCAAGTAACCATCTTAGAATTTGCTAGATATTCATAGACCCCCTTAAATAATAGACCATGCAGAATAAATATTCTCTTCATTGAGTCAAGTGCAATTTTCATGTATTAGATATTACAAGAATCAATGTAGTCCTATTTTGTTCAAAACCATTCCACACTTAATGATGGTACTTATGCATAGAACTATTTCTGAAATTGTGCTATGGGCAGTTGATAATTGGTGTGTGGTGTACTGTACCATCTTTGTTTGTTGATATATTATCTGTTAGGTAATTACTGTTATACTCCGTAAATTTACAGGATCAAGAAGAGGACAACTTTGCTATTGTTTTTGCTGCTATGGGTGTCAACATGGAAACTGCACAATTTTTCAAACGTGATTTTGAGGAAAATGGCTCAATGGAGAGAGTGACCCTTTTCCTGAATCTGGTATACTGTGAAACCAAATTATAGAAAACGTTTATAATATTTCTGTTCGCAAGTCATTCAACCTATGCAGGACTATGTTGCTTATTTATCACACGCTGTACAAATGTGATTGATCCTAAGCCCCGTTCTCTGTCATGCTCTTCTACAGGCAAATGACCCTACAATTGAACGTATTATCACCCCTCGTATTGCTCTTACAACTGCTGAGTATTTGGCATATGAATGTGGGAAGCACGTTCTTGTCATCCTTACGGATATGAGTTCTTATGCTGACACTCTTCGTGAGGTAAAGTAAACATGACTCATTTTAAAAATGGCTGTTGTACCGAGTGTTGGAACAATAAAATGCATGAGTTTTACGTAACAGTTTTCAGCATTTTTTTACGTAACAAGGATATAGTACTGATTGCCCGTGGATATTTAAGATATATGCTCAAAGCTCATAGGAGTTGCAATAACAAGTACAAACTCAAAGTTTTGCTTTTCTGTAAGTCGAGAACAACGCATAACTCGTACCACAGTTTCTGTGACACAAAATATTTGATTGCTACTTCAGGTGTCTGCTGCTAGGGAAGAAGTGCCTGGTAGGCGTGGGTATCCTGGCTATATGTATACCGATCTTGCGACCATCTATGAACGTGCAGGACGAATTGAAGGGAGAAAAGGTTCCATCACACAGATTCCGATCTTAACTATGCCAAATGATGGTATGCAATACCGAATATTACTATCTCATGATTAATCCAGTTTCGCTTTTGCGGTCGTACATTGGCTGAGGTCGACCTCTTATTTGGTTAGATATTACGCATCCGACTCCCGATCTTACTGGATATATTACGGAGGGGCAGATATATATTGACAGGCAACTCCACAATAGACAGGCAAGTTTATTAAATTCTTGCACTTTTGAAATTATATATGGCTGTCTTGGAAATAGTCACATACCATGAACGAAACTGCAGAAAATATGTGCTACCTCATATTTAAATTTTTCATCATGTTGAACTTTGCATTGTTTATCAATATAATTTATCATTTTTCAGTTTTATCTGTTTATCAAATTTCATGGCAGTGCTTGATTTGTTTAGAAGAAACCTGTGTTTGTTCAAAGGACACGGTATAGGTTTACGGACAGCATTAAATGTTTTTGCTCATCTAATCATCGATTTCTTTGAAATGAGCAGATATACCCACCAATCAATGTCCTGCCATCCCTATCTCGTCTGATGAAGGTAACTATAATACTTGCATGACTCTATTTATATTGTGAAATCATTTTCAGAGGATAAAAAGATTTTCGTATAAGTACTAACTTCTGGTCATAACTGCAGAGTGCCATTGGTGAGGGAATGACCCGCAGGGATCACGCCGATGTATCCAACCAGGTTTGATGGAATAGTTATACCATTGCACTTTAGCTCTAAACTCTTTACTTAAAGTCGTCTAATGCTTTTTGTCCTTTATTTCAGCTTTATGCAAACTATGCTATTGGTAAGGATGTCCAGGCAATGAAAGCTGTGGTGGGAGAAGAAGCACTTTCTTCTGAGGATCTGGTATCTTTCATTTCCCTTGTTCTCCTACTACTTTCTTTCTTTCAAAGACCACCTTAAAAGAGAATTATTGACCTTAACTCTTATGATTTAAAACACAGCTATACCTGGAGTTCTTGGACAAATTTGAGAGGAAGTTTGTGGCCCAAGGAGCCTACGACACAAGGAACATCTTCCAGTCCCTTGATTTGGCTTGGACACTGCTTCGCATATTCCCCCGAGAGCTTCTCCACCGTATTCCTGCAAAGACCCTTGACCAGTACTACAGCCGAGATGCAGCTAACTGATGGACCCAAAATCATGAAATAGACACAATTCTGCTTCCTGATTAGCTGCGGATGAGCTCTGCGATTTATTTATTTATTTGTTTTCCATTAGTAGATTGCAATCTCCCTTTTTATCCAGTATAAAAATAATAAGAGGCCATGGTCCAGTTGAGTCTCCACAAGCTTGTTGGCTAAGTCGAATTGACACCAAGATTCTTTATGTGCGGACATTTTAGATGCTGTAATTCTTGTATTTTCTATTCTCGTCCGTTTGTGTTAACCCCAGTTTGGTTTTGGGCGTGGCTTTTTTTATGCTTCCGTGGAGTTTCAGGAACTTTTTGAAGGCATTATTTGTAGAGCCTTGTTGCCATATATGCTGCCCCTTTGGTCATATTATTTATATCTTGTAATTTGAGACGTTTTGGATCCTTAATATCGTCGGGAAAAGTGTTATTTAATAGTTCGTAGTGTCTCCATACTCCACAGGATCGTTATGTGGTAATAAATGTTTGATGTACAAGATGTTTGGTTTTGATCTTTTCATAAACTCTCATTCGAAATGCTTGCTGATTACATGTGAACAGACTCTTGAGAGAGCTGCTTGGTAGCGCAAGGAAAAGAGATGGGATTATTGGAAGGATTTTGAGACTCCGCTTGTTTGGTAGGAGGAAAAAAGAGGAAGGGGGAGGAATTGAGTGAGGGACTTCAATTCCTTAGAACTTCAATTTAGAGGATGTTTAGTAGAGGAATTTGTTCTCTGATTCGAATTATGATTCGTAGTTCATTACAGTATTTTTTCTCACAAAAAATTTACGTAAATTAAAAATGATTTGAATCACACGATTTGAATCCTCCAATTAAACGTCTTTTTAATCTTTCCATGAATAATTCACTTGCCTACGAGATAAACTAGCACCCTTTTTTTTTTTTTGGATGGAAGACAACTTTTACTTATTCCACCCTTTTTCCGCCGATTTTGAGTTACAATTGCAATAATCACATGACACATTATTTCCCAAGATTCCGCATTTTTTTTTCTTTTGAATTACAATTGCAATATATATATATATTTTTTTTTAAAAATTACAATCATTACGCAGAATGAACACCAGCCATGAAATGATGCTGCCCTTTTTTCATTCCCAAACCAATAATAAGCACTTACAAGTTGCAACTTCCATATTTTCTTATTCTTAAAAAAAAAAAAAAAAAAAACAAACGAACAAAATCTACAAACGTGTTAACAGATGCCAAATAAACTCATTCCCTCTATTTTTTTCTTTTTTTTCGCTTCACCCTTCAGTCCATAGTCATACAGGAGGTTTCTGGCAGTTTCAGTCTCCGAGTTCCTCAACTTGACATCCCGTCTCTCCATTGTCGTCTTAACTCAGAACAAACATCTCTAGCCTTCTTCTCAGAGACGATAAATGAAACATTGAAGAAATTCTCAAGAAAAAGTTAATATGCATTAACCAGGAGGAAAAAATTGAACCTCAGCCAGCTTTGGATGTTCTTACTACATAGGGCAAGACAACTGCATCAAGATTCCCGGGATACGGAGTCCACAAGCCTAATCCTCCCCTGCTCTCTAACAAATTATCCTTGCTCCCGCTAGCTTGGTCCCAATCCTTACCCTTGTTCGAAATCTTTGCATTCCCCTTGAGCTGATCCCAACTCGTTACCCACTCTATCCTAGAAGAATGCTCCCTTATGTGCGGATGCAACACAAACAGGGAATTGTACTCGCAATTCGGAAACATAAAGAACTCAAACAAACCCTTTAGCCTGTACACCACATAACCGAAACTCAGTTGGTCTCTTGGAGTGAAGAGGTCGACCTCGTTGAACCACAAACAGCTAAACAGATTACTCATCGCGGTATGTTCCCGTATGATGATCGCTCCCTCTGGCACATCTACGTTGTTTGAATTCCCATCAATTCATGAAAAAACTATAGGTCAACAAATTGAAGAATTTGAAACGTAATTTCCTTTGCTTACCACTAACTGTTTTCTTCATTGGACTCCACGGTTCCATTCCCTCATAAAGGTAGATTTTCATTTGGAGATCAATAAGAGGTCGAGCATAGCGCTTCCTTCGCTTGTTTGCATCAGCCTCTTCATATATACTATGATGGTGCTTATGCTGAGCAATGGCAAACGTATGCTTCCCACGCCATAAGTATCTGCAAGTTGAAAAATATATTCTTTAGCTAACTCCTCACAGATACAAAATCCATAAAGAAAAGAGGGAGAGAAATATTGTCTTACCTTTCTAGAATTAGCAGTGGATCAACTATTAGCTCCATCTTCCCATCAATCCAAATGCTGTACTGTGCTTCAGGGAACAGTCGGTGGGTTAATATTTTGGGAACCTTCCCGTTCCTTCTTGGCTCATCATAAGGCGGATGCTTCAGTGGAATGAGACGCCAAATACCAACCCATTTCCCCCCATCTTTGTCCTCTGTAATGGTAACATTTTCCTTTATAAATTTGAGAGATATCTCATCCACCACCATAAGGAAACAAAATAACTTTTTCGAACGGAGACTTAGATTTGAAGGCTGATGCGGAACATCGTATCCATCAAAAATTCCTGAGGCAACCACAAATCTGCATTTCTTGACATGTTTGATATCTACGGCAGACATTTCAGCGCCACCATCTTTAATAAATCCACAATGGACCTAAGGAAAAACACAAAGTAAACAAAATCAACTAAATTGATTTAAAAATGCAAAAGCAACAATTTTCAATAAATAAGGAAGTGTCGTTCTCTTTTTGTTGACAATTTAAGATTTAAGATAATAATTAAATCACCAACATAGGCAAAGGAGAAAATATAAGAATAACGGATAATTTAGTCTTACCTTCATTGCTGGTTTTAGCTTGAAGCTCTCCTCTCTTTGCTTCCAGCTTTTATGTCCTCCAAACAGTGGAATATTCTGAGATCCATTGTTAGAAATCTCATCCTCCATAACATAGGATAAATTTTTGACAATTTTTTCAGGAGTTCTTCCCTCTGGAATAACAATTTTCTCAGGGTCATCCGCCACGGGAATTGGACAGCCTAAATTATAAGCACCACCTATTACTTATAGTATTTGGAAAGATATAGAGATTTGGAAGACAAAATATTGTTACGGTCTTACGGTGTTGAGGTGGTGGTTTTGGTACAAGCCCTATTGTGCTCCACATTGTGAAAACCTTGCTATCTTTGTTACAAATCGCTGCAAAGTCAATCACAAAATATTTCTAAAATCATACAGTGAACAAAACAAAACCAATTTTGAATCTATGACCTTTGTAGCCTCAACACCAACATGATAATTATTCATCACCAGTATGTAACGTAACAAATAATGCTAATGATCCCAACTTTTTAATACCAACAGACATGGCATATGAGTTGTCATTTTTTTAAAAACGGCATATGAGTTGTCATTTTTTTAGAAACGCCGGCTCCAGGATATTACATATCTGGGACCAAGAGTGCAGGGTCGGGACCCATCTTTGCAAAGCAAGAACGAGGCCAAGATGCAACAAAACCGCACTCGTATTGATAGGTGTTCTAAGAATTACCACATCCAGTGATATTAAAAAGTTCCATCTACCAATAGAAAGATAAGAATTCATAGTCACTTGAGTTGGTACCAAAAAGTTGAGATACTCAGGCACTACTTTGGCACTTATCAACAACTAAATGGAAGGTTGAGAAATGAGAACCATATGCACTTAAACCAGGTCATTATACAAAGTCATACACTAAAGATACCTGAGAGGAATGAAATAGAAGATTGGCAGGACCAGATGTGAAACAAAGATGCAAAAAGTATTAGTAACATCCACAAGATTCCCCCAACGAGAAACAACCTAACGAAGCCCTTCTTCCAAACAATCTTGAGGGGGTAATCCTGGTGCAGCTTTGCCGGAGAGAAAAGCCCACCTTCAACATCTGCCACCACCATTATCATCAACACATTGGCTAGCTTAGTCGCATTTCTTGTGCTAAATCAACAATACCCAGCTCCCCAAATAACCAAAAGAGAATGAAAAATACAATAAAAACTTCAAATCTCTTTCACGTTTTTCTTTTCAAATCTGCTTCTCTTTTTTTTCCCCTTCTTGAAAAAAGAAAAAAAAAAAACTTCTTACCATTAGAATGTGTGTTTTGATTACTCCGCTCGCCTCTACGGTTTGTGCGTAAAGACACGGAACGTTGAGCCTCTTTCTCCATTGTTACTCACTATTGAGTTCTCATTACTACACAACTTTACAAAAAAAAAAAAAAAAAAAAAAAAAAAAAAAAAAAAAAAAAAACACAAAATAAAAACAAAGCAATAAGATTTTGATTATTATTTGATGAGCAAAGGTGGAAATTAAGCGAATGCAAGAAATTCCAGATCTGGGTCGCTCGTAATTTGATCAAAATGCTTGAACTGTTGGTTGGAAATTGAACATTATGAGAAATTTGGAGTACAAAAAGAAAAAAATCTGATGAGAAGGACTTACGGAATGGGGATGGAGGTGGATCGTTTACACGCAAATCAGAGTTCTTCCAAGTTTCAACAGTGGAGGAAATAGAGCAAAACGAACCAGGAAACCATGCGGCGCGTTTGGAATCAGTTTTGAAAACGTTTTTCAAGGAACAAAAAATAGAAACGATCTGAAGACTACGTTTGGAGCGGCATCCATCCAAAATCAAAACTGAAAACGTTTTTCTCTTTCTCCCAAAATCTCACACTTTCTCAAAACGATTAAAACTCGTTTTCATTTTCCTATTTTCATTTTCTAAACGTTGAGCTTCTCGGTCTAAATGCGCTGGAGGTTTTCTCCTCCCTCTTAGTTGATAATCGGTGGATCCGGACGGAGTCTGGAATTGAACGACGACGTTCTGAGGTTGCCAACTTGACGCCGCCGCGGTGACCGGTTCCTTTCCGATTAGCGGCGCTGGAAGCAATGGAAGACGGCGGAGCTTCTTCACCGGAGCATATGGAGAGTGGTGATGAGTGAGGGGGTTTCGTTGGTTTCAAAGAGGGAGAGTTGGGAAGAAAGGCAAAAGGAAAGTGAGAGTGATGGGGATGGATGGTGGGTTCAACAAGGAAGAGAAGAGCGTGAAGATATTTTTTTTTTGGGAGACAAATGAATTTTTAACATTTATTTTATTTATTTATGTAAATGTAAATAAAAATAAAAACTTGTCAGTGAAAAGACTCTTTTACCACTAAAGTGTCTTCCAATTTCCTTTTCGCTCACAAAGAGCAAACGACACCGGAAATTGGGAATCCTCATTGAAATTGATTTTAAAATAAATTTATTTTTAATAAAAAGTAAAATTGAGATTATTTTAAAATTATTTTTAATTAATTTTTAAAAAAATTATTTTGAACATAATAAAAAATAAAATCATATTTAATAATTAATATATTATAATATAAATATTAAAAAATAAAAATAAATAAACTTTTTAAATTATTTTTTAATTCATTTAAAACATTATTAAAATTATTTTCGTTTTTATTTTTATTTTTAAAATATTTACTAAATAAGCTCCGTTTTGTTTTTATTTTCCTTTTTTCTCGAAATATGTTAAAACGATTTTAAAAAAGTTTCAAGCACGCATTTAAAGACGAAAGTATTTTCTCTGTAGAAACCAAAAAAAAAAAACATTTTGCGAAGAAATAAGAAATCGCTTCTGAATCTCTGGTCTCATTCCGAAACGAAAAAGTCCCTCGGTTTTTTCATATCCAACATTGCCGAATTAGGGTTTATATAGTCTTGGTGAGAGTGCCTTTTCTTGTCTTTGTTTATGTTTTGTTTGATAAAGAGAATTGCTTTTGTTTCTGCTTCTGGTTTGGGCGTTTGAATGGAGTAATTCGCTATTTATTTAGAATTAGAGGTCGAAAATGGAAGCAGAAGTGATCCAAGCGGAGCTGGTGTTGCCGACTCACCTGAGTTTCAAGAAAATCCAAATGTACGAGAAGTATCCCAAAGGCCAGTCCAGAGGCAGGCACTGGAAACACCTCAAGCAGATCATCCAAGCTGAAAATTACCAGAATTACCCTCCTGATGAACCCAATTGTATGTCATATATATATATATATATATATATATCTGTGTGTGTGTTTTCTTTTTTTTGTTTGGGCTCTAATTTTAAAATAATGCAAAAAGTTCAAGGGTTAGAATACCGTGTTGACGAAAGGAATCAATTTTGTTTGTTTGATAGATTGTGGATTGTAACAATGTGAATGAAATAATTTCCTCATCAACATTAAATCAGGAGATTTTCATCGAGTTTTTTTAAATTCCCGTATTTTCTTAATTTGATATAATTTTTATGTGTCTTATTGGCATAATTTTTCGAAAAATTAACTTCAACCTCTAGATTGGAGGACTTATCATATGCTTGGGATGTGTTTAATTTAGAATGGAAGGTATTTGTCAGATTTACTAATGTAAACCAAAGTCGATATTTTTCGGAAATGCTTATTGAGAATGCTTTTCCATAGGTTGATACCTGATGTTTCTTTGTTTGTCTCATTACTGTTCATGGTAAACCTTACTGTTTTTTAGAATGTTTGTTATTATTCCTTCTTTTTTTTTTCTCTCTATAAAGCTGTTTTAAGTTTTGAGCCATTGATGTTGTTATTGTTTTGCAGATGTTAACATTGAGTCGCCTCCTTCTATGCATCCTTGCAAAAAAATTTGTGACATTACAGGATATGAGGTATGGCTCTCTTTACAAGATTGGTTACCAGTGATGTTCTTGTCTGCCAAAACTTCTATCATTGTCGATGTTATCTAGAGAAATTGTTTGTGTTCGTTTCGATTGTCAAATTGATGAGAATTTACTTTGGATTAAGGCATTCTCAAGTTTTTATGACAAAGTAACCAATTTGTTTTTAACCCTTTTCTATGTTGAACTTTTCTTGTGAAGGCCTGCTTTCAGTTTAGATTCTTACCCCTTCTTCCCCAAATTACATAATTTTTTTTTTCCGGTTCCTGCGTAATGAAGGGGGTTAACTAAAGATTTGAATTGATTTCTTTCAAGCATGGAAATTGGTGAATGATTGATTAAAATGATAGGCCATATTTTGTTTTCTGCATCTTTTCTTGTATCAACTGTTACGGAACCTAATCACGCCATGTCAACCTGATCTGCATTTTTTATTAGCTATGTTTCTGATCTGGTTGTCAGATGATTGGTGAGTAACTTAGAAGCATAATAAGTACTCTTTTGCTGGAAGTATTTGTTTTCTGGAAAAACAAGACTTATGAATTTGGCTATCATTGCTTGTTATGAGAAGCTGGCAACTTTAGTGGTTCTTATTGATACTTTAAACAATGTGCTGTAGTGTACTAATATCCTTCGCCAAATTTATCAGGCTTCAATTGAGACTCTTTATATGCACTTGCAGGCACCTTACTCCGATCCCAGGACGAATCTCCGCTACGCAAATGCTGAGGTCTTCAAAATCATAAGATCACTTCCGAATGAATATGTGCAGAGATATCTGGCTGTGAGGAATGCTGCCGTGGTTCTAAAGTAAATTTCCTAGTTTCTGCAGACTACAGAGTTTCACACTATTGCTGTTATTACAATTGTTTTCTCTTTCAATGGGTTATAGTTTAAGATTGGTAAGCTTGCTTTGAATGAAATATTGTTTATTGCTCTTTGCACAATGAGTTCAGGAATATGATATAGGCCGCATCAGAATTTGAAATACGCAAACGACATGTAGTTTGCGGCATAAACGACAGCAAATTGTGAAAAGATAAACAGTATGTCGTTTTCGCATAAATCATGATGTTTGGTAGAGGGATTCGTTCCCGGATTCGAATCATAATTCGTGATTCGTTATAATATTTTCTCTCATAAAAAGTACACGTAAATTGAAAATGATTCAAATTATATGGTTTGAATCCTCCAACCAAACGTCCTGTAAATATTACAAAGATCGAAAAAGAAAAAACCACAAATATCGGCTGCAGCCTGCAAAGTTCAGCAAATACGACATATTCTTTGTTCGTCTTAAATAATAGCAACATTTTCAAACGACACCAAACTTTTAAGATAAATAATTACATTCATTTTCGTTTCACAGTGAAATGACGAGGAATGCAGGTGTCAGACAATTTGTGCTTTTCAATTAAAAGACAACAACAAATCTGATGACTTCGTTTTCTCAATCGTTTTAACTTAAAACTTCAATTGAGATCAAGCTTTTAAACAAAAAAACTAACATTTCATTTTTCTACTCAAATGACAATTCTTGAATTTTTAATTATAAAAATTCTCACTGTCTCCTTTAAATTTTAAATTGCTCTCACTCATTTTATTCTGTTATAATTTTTATTAAAAATAGATAAAAAAAGAAAATAATACAGTTACGTGATACGTGATTTTTTTATTTAAGTTTTTATTAAAAACAAACAAATAAAAATTATATGTTTACACTTAATTTCTTTTTGTCCTGTTTGATTTTAAAAATTCTTATTAAAAAGCTTAAATGAGATAAATTTAAAATTAAGGGACAACCTGAGAGTTTTCAAAGTTAACGGAGTAAAGTAGAAATCACATGGTTCAGGGCACCAGTGAGATAAATATAGATATACATCTGAAAAACGACAAAATAAAAAAACAAAACAAAAGAGCCACATCGGAAAACGACATCAAATTGCGAAAAAAAAACCGACATTAGATTAATAACGACATTAAAGAGAAAGAACGACATGAATTTATTATACCACTTAAAAAAGAAAAAACAAAACGAAAAAAATAAAGAAAAAGAAAATAGGAGTAGATCATCAGCATACACACGAAAGAAATAAGCAGACTTCCGTCGCTTGCTTCTTCCATTCGTAGAATTAGGATACCCGTCGCTAAAGAACCAAAGCTCCGCCTCTTTCCGTCGCCGTTGCGTCAGAAGCCCAGCCCCACTCCCATCCGGCGCCGTCGCAACGTGACCCCACCTCCACCCCTACACCGTCGCTCACTTTTTCCCATTTCCTTTCTAGGTTTTTTTTTTTTTTAAGCTCTAATCTTTTCATAAAAGCTTTGCTCGAGTGTGCTACTGAGGTTGTCAATTCCTCTCGACTTCGACGAATTTCTGTCCAGGTATATTTATCAACTGCTTCTCTGATTCTTGTCGCTTATTGTTGATTTGAGCGATATGCTTTACTGAGAAATAAATTGGGTCGGTATTTGGATTAGAAAGAAAGACAAATTTCGTCGGTATTTTTTTTCCAAAAAAAAAAAAAAAAACCTTTTCTTCTTGTTTTTCGATGTGAAACTTAAGCTACATTTGGTTGGGAGGAATGAAATGGAAAGGAAAAGCCATTCCACCTAATTCCATTTGGTTTCATTTTTTGGGTTAGAAAGGGTAGGAAAGCCCATTCAGTCATTTTGAAGGAATTGGCATTCACGTGGGGGGCTATGGAATTGCTTTTCCATTCACGTGAGGAAAGCCCTGATTCACATTTTGTCCAAAATCTCCCTGCCCTAGCCCCCAATTCTTGCTCGACCACCGAGCTCCCCCATCGACCTCCAGCGACTCCTCCTCACGTCCTTTTTTTTTTTTCTTCTTCTCGATCTCCGGCAAGAGAGGTTTGGCTCGATTCTTTTCGATCTCCGGTGAATATCCAAGAGGTTTGGCTCCGATCGAAACGAAGAAGTTCTCGCGCGGCTCGATTCTTGGCTCGCTTCGTTGCTGCTACTGCTGCTGCTTCTCGGATCTTCACCGGCACGAAGACGAGGTACTATTTCGTCGAACTCCTGTTTGCTGTCGTCTTTCTTTTTATTGTCGTTTGACAGAGGAAATGTTCATACTTTCTTCAATTTGCTGCTTCTTTTTGGTAAAATTTCCAGATATTTAACGTAGCTTTGATTGGTTTCTGGAAATTGATTGGTTTTTATGTGATTAGTGGAAAACCCAACAATAGCCCTCTAGTTTGAAGCTTGTTGTTTCACCAAAAAAATGGACTTCTGCAGAATTTCCAGAGTATTGCACAGTTTCACGATCATTTGTAATCTAGTGCAATATTCTCTATGTTTTTCTATATAAGATTTTAAAGCCCCCATCAACTAGAAAAGGGATTATCTGGATCAAATTGGAAAAATGAAATGATTGATAAAAAAAAAACAAAAAAGTTTATACTATTTCGTTCATTAATTCTGGATCTATGTTTTCAATTACGCTGCTCTTCCGTTCACTCCCGGCCTTGGCACAAATGGAATTGGAGGAATTGGGGCTTGGCACAAATGGAATTGGAGGAATTGGGGGTAGAGTTTTGCTGAGTTTCAAAGAAACCCCCCGATGAAGTAACGCCACCTTCGATTGCTCTCATTCTGGTCCCTGCTTTCCTTGCCTCTATTCCGATAGAAAAGGTCTCTCTCTCTATCTCTATTTCTCTCTCTCTCTGAATCTCTGGTCTCATTCCGAAACGAAAAAGTCCTTCGGTTTTTTCATACCCAACATTGCCGAATTAGGGTTTCTATAGTCTCGGTGAGAGTGCTTTTTCTTGTCTTTGTTTATGTTTTGTTTGATAAAGAGAATTGCTTTTGTTTCTGCTTCTGGTTTGGGCGTTTGAATGGAGTAATTCGCTATTTATTTAGATAGGTCTCTCTCTCTATCTCTATTTATCCCTCTCTCTCTGAATCTCCAGTCTCATTCTGATGGAAACCAGGAATTGCTGGTGTATATTAGGAGATTGAAGTGTTAGTTAATTAGTAAGGCTGACGTGGACCTGAATAAGTAGACTTGGTTGTTTGAGAGTCTTGTCGAGGAAGTTTGGCATCCATGTAATAACTGAATTTAGTTAGAGTTGTAGTTTGTTAGTAGAGTCTATAAATAAGCAGGGGGGCCTAGGGCTCGGGGACTTTTTGGATTGTGTAGTATTGTGAGGAGAGACGGTGATTCTCTCGAATAATCACCCGAGTATGTAATTTGTCCTTCAATAATCTAGAGGTTTCCATCAAATTGGTATCAGAGCTGTTCTGATTGGGAATGGTTGCTTCAAGAGCTGAAAAAATGGAAGGCAGGGTGGAGATGGTGGAGAAGGATATCGGAGAGCTTAAGGGAGCTGTTGGACAACTTTTGGTGGACATGGGAGCTGTGAAGGATTATATGAAGGAACTTACCGATTGGATGAGGTCAGGGAACGGCATAAGTCCCTCGGCAGAGCACGCTAGGGCTTTTGCTTCGAACGAGGTGGAGGCGGTGGTGCGACGGCGGCGGCGGTTCATCCCGGTCAAGGTTCAGCACCGATTGGCAGGGAATCTAGGTTTCGCCGAATGGAAATTCCTCTTTTCAGTGGCGAGGATCCGCTCAGGTGGCTGTTCCGTTTGGAGCGATATTTCCAAGTCCAGGGCATTGAGGAGGTGGAACGAGTGGCAGCGGCAGTGATTGGCCTCGAAGGGAAGGCGTTGAACTGGTTCCAGTGGTTGGAATCCAGGTCTGGTCACGTCTCGTGGCTGAGATTCAAGGAATCTGTGATTCAGCGGTTTAGATCGTTGCAAACGGGCAATCATTACGAATCTTTGATTGCTTTACGACAGGAATCGACGGTAGCTGATTTCCGAGAGAAATTCGAGCTACTCTCGTCTCCTTTGAGAGAAGCCGATGAGGAGTTCTTGATGGGAGCCTTCTCGAATGGTCTGGCTGAAGAAATCAGAGCAGAGGTGCGTATGGTGAAGCCTGCCTCTCTGGTCCAACTGATGGACTTGGCCCAAAAAATTGAGGAAAAAAATTGGGCCCTGGAACGGGCCCACATGAAACGGACCTTCAGGCCCAACTCGGGTAAAGATGGTAATGGGTTCTCTGAAGGCCGTGGTTTTTCTTTTTCAGGAGAATATGGCGGTGTAAGAAGTGTTGTGACTGGAAGAGCCTCTCCGGTAAGTGGTGCTAGTGGGTTACCACCCAAACCGAATGAAGGAGGTGGAGCAACAGTGACACGCAGCAGCTCTTTTCAATCCAACGTGTCTGTCAACAAGCCTCTTTGTGTTTCTTCTCAGCCGGTTAGAAGAAATGAGAACTTTAGGAGGAGGATTTCTGATACTGAGATGCAGCGAAGGCGAGAGAAGGGATTATGCTTCCGATGTGAAGAAAAGTGGCGATTCGGCCATGTTTGCCAGAACCCCCAACTCCAGGTTCTTATTGCTGCAGAAGATGAGGAAGACGAAGAAGTGGCTGCCGAAGATACCAGCACACCACGGACACAAGAAGAAGGATCTTTGGAGTTGTCTATGAATTCAATTGTGGGAATTCCATCCATTAACACCATGAAGGTGAAAGGTACGATCTTGAACAAAGAGGTGGTGATTTTAATTGATTCTGGAGCTTCTCATAATTTCATTTCTCGGGGAATGGTGGAGGAACTAAAACTGCCAATAGATGGTACACCTAGTTTCGGAATTATGGTGGGAAATGGTTACAAAGTGGCCGGACAGGGGGTCTGCCGGCAGGTGGAGGTTAGTTTACAGGGGTTGCAGATAATTCAAGATTTTTTTCCGATTGAACTTGGTACTGCTGATGTAATTTTAGGCATTACTTGGCTAGGCATGTTAGGGGAGGTTAGTGCCAATTGGAAGAAATTAACTATGCAGTTCGATTGGCAGGGCAAGCGGGTGTTGCTTCAGGGCGACCCTTTTTTGTCCAAAACTTTAGTGTCTCTCAAGGCCATGCTTAAAGCTATTCAGGAGGAGGGATAGGGATTTTTGGTGGAATTTGGACAGGTGACATTGTTAGACCAATCTGTTGGAGTTGTCGAAGATGCGGCTTTGGAGGGGTTGCTCACTGAGTTTAACTCGGTGTTTGAACCTCCCGCAGGCCTTCCTCCTTCGCGATTTCATGATCATGCAATTCCACTTAAGGAAGGGACATATCCTTCCAATTTGAGGCCTTACCGTTTCCCACATTCACAAAAAAATGAGATCGAAAGAATCGTGAAGGAAATGATGGCCGCAGGAATCATTAAGCATAGTAACAGTCTGTTTTCGAGTCCGGTATTGTTGGTCAAGAAAAAAACTGGTGAGTGGCGTTTTTGCGTGGACTATTGCGCACTAAACAAGATTACAATTCCGGATCGGTTTCTGATTCCTGCCGTAGACGAGTTGCTGGACGAGCTTGGAGGGGCGGTTTTCTTTTCCAAATTGGACTTGGAATCCGACTACCATCAAATTAGGGTACGTGAGGAGGATACACCGAAAATAGCATTCCGTACTCACGCCGGCCATTACGAATTCTTGGTTATGCCTTTTGGCTTAACGAATGCCCCGGCAACCTTTCAATCCCTAATGAACGAAGTTTTCCGTCCTATTTCGATGATATGCAGCACTTGAGATGTGTTTTTGACTTGCTTAAGCAACACCAATTGGTGGCCAACAAGAAAAAGTGTGTTTTTGGACAGCCACGAGTGGAATATTTGGGCCATATCATCACAGATTCTGGGGTTAAAGTCGATCCGGAGAGAAAATTGCCGCCATGGTTGATTGGCCCGTGCCAAAGTCCATTCGGGATCTTCGGGGATTTTAGGCCTCACCAGCTATTATCGGCGTTTTGTGAGGGATTATGGGAAGGTGGCTGAGCCTTTAACACGTCTCCTTAAAAATGATGCGTTTTTGTGGACCTTGGACGCACAGGGTGCTTTTGAAGAATTAAAACAGCGGATGGTCTCTGTTCCGGTGCTCGCTTTACCGGACTTCACCAAAACTTTTATCATTGAGACCGATGCTTCTGGACGCGGGTTGGGGGCGGTTTTGATGCAGGACAATCGGCCTATTGCTTTTATCAGCCAGTCTCTTTCCGATCATGGTCACTCTAGGTCTATGTATGAGCGCGAGCTCATGGCGGTTGTTTTGGCTACGAAGAAATGGCGTCATTATCTTTTGGGAAGGCATTTTATAGTGCGAACGGACCAACGTAGCTTACGGTTCCTTCTCGAACAGCAAATCATGAATGAGGCCCAGCAACGGTGGATTTGCAAACTCATTGGTTTGGACTTTGAAATTCAATATAAGCCGGGGCGGGATAACCGGGCGGCTGATGCCCTTTCCAGAAAACACGAGGAACCTCTTTTGCACGTGTTCGCCGTTGTGCACATGCGAGAGTTGGAAGCTATTGAGGATGAAGTGCAAAAGGATGATAAGTTGAGGACAATTGTTCAAGGGCTTTTGTTGGATCCTCACTTCAAAGCCGGTTATCAACTCAAGGGTGGCCGGCTCTATTTCAAGGATAGGATGGTTTTACCACAGCATTCTCCTTTGGTTACCAAATTTTTCCGTGAGTTCCATTCCTCGGCTGTGGGAGGTCATTCCGGATTCTTTCGTACCTATAAGCGCTTGGCGGCCGTCCTATTTTGGGACGGGATGAAACGTGATATTCAGCGCCTGGTCGCTGAATGCGACACTTGCCAGTGGGTGAAGTATGATGCCCTGAAACCGACCGGTTTACTGCAACCATTGCCAATTCCGGAGCAAGTTTGGGATGATGTGTCTTTAGATTTTATTGGGGGTTTACCTAAGGCTTTGGGGCGTGATACGATTATGGTGGTAGTGGATCGCCTTACCAAATATGTGCATTTTTTCACGCTTTCTCATCCTTTTACGGCTTGGGAGGTTGCGGCCGTTTTTGTGCAAGGAGTGGTTCGCTTGCATGGGTTTCCACGTTCTATCGTTTCTGACAGGGACCGCGTGTTTATCAGTCACTTTTGGAAGGAGCTGTTTCGATTGGCCGGTACCGAGCTTCGTATGAGCTCCG